ACCAGTAATACTGTACAACAAAATACGTTAAATTTTGGTTTGCTACGTGCAGATTGAAAGATGATATTGCCTCACCTTTGGTTCAGGTTACAAGAACCCGGTACTTCACCTGTAAAATAATCATACAGAATGACAATGTCAGAATTATACATTGATTAACACAAAACACGACCCAGTGGTGTGCATGAGTTTCAAATAAGACCCAGACGGAGGTTCCGACCAAAAATACACACGGACAGATACGGAGACACGGGCACATATACAGAGACACGAATAGACACGGAGACAGACACCCTGGTAGTCAGCCACTGATATATAGACACGAAGACGTGAGACGCACATGTAGAAATAAATAAGTAAAGAGAGTGAGACATCAGAGGCAAACAAGCGAGACGCGGACAAGTTCAAGTTAATTTATTAGGTATAGTCCTGTGAGCCATTCGGCTCTTGAATCGGGTGCAACCGCAACAAACAAAAACATGAACAAAAAAACATCTTAAAATGAATATGTGACCATGTGCAAACAGAAAATCCAAGAAAAGACAGCAAAATATTGTAGAAAAAGCACCGTACACCAACGCTGTGTGCAAAAATCCCAGTGGGATGCAAGTCGAACAACAACAACAACCACAAGATAACTTAGATTAAGGCCATTTAGAGATAGATAGTGACAAGCAATCCACTGCTAGATGAATTACTCGCCATGTCGTGTCGTTCGTAAGGAATGTGACCATATTTCACCACACTGGTCAGTCAGTGCGCGTTTGTGAAAACAACTCAGATTGAAGGGGGTTTTTGGTGGAGGTGTTAGACCAGGAAAGATCCAGATATCGTTCGGGATAACAGGTACGGCGAGCTAATCTTGCACCACCGCTCCACACCCTCACATCTACAAATGACACGCTATGAGCAAAAATTAAGTTGTATCTTTTGCTCTCACATTGCAACACTTAAACAACAGAGCGGGCGTCGTAAAGCGGTTATCGTTGAACGTGTACGATTATTTATGGTGCTGCAAGGTAATTTCCCTAAACGTTGTTTGTCATACCTATTGACGTTTCAACGATTGTGCAGAGTTCTCGTTATTTGTGCTCACGACAAAACAAGTTAAACTATTAACTTTCGATTTGTTATCTCCGGAGGCCACGGAAAGCCTGCGCTTAGGCCTCGCAGTAACCGACGCAACTCTTACCTTTATAAACGGCCGGCATGGCGGCAGCAAACGAACTAAAAAACGTAGCTCGCTTTAAAAACGTGACTTCGATTTGTTTTATTAGTTTAAACCCGAGACATCGACCGATAAAAACACAAAACTTGAGGCAACCCCCGTCCGCCGCCGCCTCAGCGAACGCCTCGCCGCAGAAAATGGCGGGATTTTAAAAGTTCGCGCTCGACCCGCGCTCGGCCAATCAGAGCGCGGGAGGACGCGTGACGTCACCGCAGCTGGCCGCACCCGATTGGTCCTCGCGTTTGGTGGAAGGCACGTGCTCGCCATGCTCCGTCAACTGCTCGATGGGTTGATGCGTTTTCAGTTTCATTTATTAGGCGGTATAGCCCTGTGAGCCATTCGGCTCTTGAATCGGGTGCAACCGCAACAAACAAAAACAGGAACAAGAAACATCTTAAAGTTACTATGCGCAAACAGAAAAAAACATAAAAAAAATCTTCCAGAAATCTTCTTCTGTGCAAAAATCCCAGTTGGATGCAAATCAAACAATAACAACCACAATACAATTTAGATTAAATTATCAGTCTAACTCTGTACTACAACAAACAAATATGGCTAAACCAAAACGTTGTCGAAATCACCGAAAGAAATCTATAAAAGCAATGTAACAGTGATCATAGGAACTGTGATTAAAATTTTACAATAAACGATATACATTATACATAACATGTACTACCAAGCTTTAACGAGTCGACTCATACGGGTTAGTCCCGTGTTCTTGTACAGCGAAATTGAGTTGTCAGGTCCATTTTCAATACGGGCAAATTGTGTTTGTTTCTTCCTTGTGATGGGACTTTGTAGTTTCAGTTTCATTTATTTAAGTTTCATTTATTTAAGTTTCATTTATTATGTATAGCCCTGTGAGCCATTCGGCCATTCGGCTCACAGGGCTTTATGAATCCCTGCAGTCACGAAAGCTTTAAATCGAAATTTAAATCAAAAGTTTATTATTGTTATCCGAGTAAATTACCCATTGGGCAAAACACGGCTCTTTTTTCGAGGGTGGCTCGGCAAATGTAAAGTAGATTAACAAACCAAATGATCTTACAAAATAATTACGTGCATTTGTATTTGTTTCGACTTCAATAATGTCGGTTTAGAAGAGTTAGAGAGATCATCATTGATATCAGCCGTGGTCAAATACACTACAGGATGAAGACCTCGATCCTTGCGATGCAACCATCCAGCGCCCACACATGAACTGATTTCATTGCTCCATCTCCTTGATGTCGGAGTTTCATTCCTTGGCTGCCAACCCCGTTATGAGTCTTGAACATCAGTCAAGCACCACTGACTTGGAGGGGATGATCCATATTTGTTTTTGGGGTTTAGCCATCAGCATCAGAATATGTATTTATACTGTAGGAATCCGATGAGCTATGAAGCTCTTTGTCGCATATCCAGCCACGTGGAAGCTCAATGACAAAAGTCGTGTCGTTCATGACAATAATTGTATTGGCTACAAAAACATTACGTTTTAGGTTTGGACGATGACATTAACCCAGCGTATGTTCTCTCATCTATATGTGTTCCTCGCGTATTTATTCAAGGAAATAGTTCACCCAGATTATATTCTTGCTTGTGGCAGCACAATTTGTAGGAGCTGTGTGCTAATTCTAGATTTGAAGCTTTCGTGACTGCAAGGATTCATATTCTTAGGTTTTTTCGGTAAAGTCACGTAGGTAAAAAATTAAAATTAAAGTATTTTACTTTTTTTTACGTGACTGTATGCTAATGTCTAGAGGTCTGCCAGCCACCACGAATGGGGCTTCGGGGTTTATCTCTCCAACAATACACCGATTGTGCTGAAGCAGTGACTAATTGGCAGGTTTTGTTCACGTGAAAAACCCTTACTAATTGACCGTGTCGGCAGGTGGTGGGTTTAACGACACGTTTATATTTACGCGATCTACCCCAAACACTCCACGGGGTTATTTAAAACCGTTTAAGTCACTTTAACAAAATGTCAATCTAAACTGAACAACATATCTATGCACATGTCTTCGTTGAATTTATATTGGAACAATCCAGCAGAAGTATCGCAAAACAAATTACGGGCTTCAGGAGACAATTCATAGCTTCATCCAGATAACAAAATTGAGGGGCAACATCTCGGTTTGGAAGGGTTGCCCCAGATGATTGTAAAGTGACACGTTTGCAATGTAAACATCCGCCTACTACAGTATACTTCTAATGGCTTAATGTAATCCAGGACCGCCTTTGCAAAAGGGAGGCAATGCTGCTGTTTGTTTCATGAGCACTCCATGGGGCTTATTTATTTAAAAAGAAACCCCTTGAAGTCACATTTTTCAATGGAAATCTAAACTTAACAAAATCTCAACGCACAGGTCTTCGGTGATTATTGATTTATTTATTGTAAACAATCCAGCACAGTATCACAAATTTGAACGATACCACAACATCAGGGGCGTATTATCCAAAAGGCACAATACGGTATGTATAGTAAAACATATAACCAAGATATCTTCTTGAATAAATACTGTATAAATACTGTATATTCATATAGCAAGGAAAGGCACAGTGTATATACGAGGCAAAGTCATGTTAATGTGTTTTTTTTTCAAGTGAGACAAATTAACATCGGAGATTTTTTTCATTGAAAAATTAGCAATAGCGTGTTAAAAACGGTGTTTTTCCCACAATCTAATTCTCTACAGAGATTAATAAGGGCAGACAAGCGTTGTTCTATGCTGTTTTAAATCATCTTCAGCAAGTGACAGCGTTGATAGTAGTGACATGGGGCAGCAGTAGCAACTATATAAAGTTATCACTCGAGGCTTACGAAATAGAAGTGTTTAGGACCTACAAACAACCTTAATCCGTTTTAAAACTTTCGTGACTGCAGAGATTCATCTTCTTGGTTCTTTCGGTAAAGTCACGTAGGTAGAAATAAAATAATTCTCACGACGTTTCGGCCTGAGGACGGCTGCTTGCGTTGTGGCCGAAACGTCGTGATAATTATTTTATTATGTTTTATTTTATTATTTCCATTCTACGTGACTTCACCGAAAGAACCAAGAAGATGAACCTTAATCCGGCCCTGCAAAACATCTTACAAAGCCCCAATTCAAGAATGTAATGGAAAGTTTCAGTTTAACGTGACACAACGCAAAACAAATAGTAAACACATTAGTCAGTAGGTGGCGTAAGTTACCAATCATTAGCATGAAGCCACGGAGAAGGGGATTCGTGGTTCGATATGAGATACAATACAAACTCATTCAACGTTGACGCTGAGCCTAATAATGGCTACAATCATATACAATAATCATATACAATAAGCACGGTACTATATTGCTTTTTTGCATTAAAATGCTCACATAGTTTAGACGGAGTGGTGTTGTGCAAATGACAGCATTTAACGAACGTTGGCGTTGATATACTCCAGAAAACTTTGCTTACGTAAACAAATGCTGTTCGGAAACTATTGTTATTGAAAGCCAATAAGACTGATTGATTAAAATATGTTCTCGTTTGTGATGGAAACAGAACAAGAGTTCAGACGACAGCTGCCTTAACTACAATCAAATCAGATAACATTGCGTCATGGTGGAGGGTTTCCAAAAGCAAAAACGGAACCGATAGTTGTTGCAAAAGCGTCGCTTATTTTTGCATAAAATAATAATAAAATAAAAGGCACCGCTGGGATTCGAACCCAGGATCTCCTGTTTACTAGACAGGCGCTTTAACCATCTAAGCCACGGCGCCACCCGTTGCCGGGTTGCGTCGCCCACTCTCTTATATCTCTAACTCGCCCCCCCCCCACCTACCCCACGTCCTGCCCCTTCGTGTGTTACTAAACAATGTAATCGGTAGCATCAGATAACGCTCAGGAGCCACTGCGAGGATTATATTGTGCGATGTCTTGTTTCGGCGCTCGCGTTTGAAGCGCGCTTGCCCAGCACGTGGCGCATTTCGGGAGAGTTGGGAAGATCGAGTGGGGTTCGTGGTAGTGGTGGTGGTGGGGGGGGTTTTAGTCAGTCAGTCATGTACATGACCCGCACGGACACCTCGGCCGTTGGCCTTTGTGTTCACGGCTAGTATTGTTTACCGCTTTAAGAGAGGTCGCGGTTATCGCCGGAGTGGGTTTTTGTAACGTCGAGGGAGGTGTTTTTTTTTGAATGGCGACGACGTCGAGGTGACGACGACGTCTCGACATGGAGCTCTCCGACGAAGGTGAGGACCACCTTCAGCGGCGGCGCCTCGCAACATCTTACGGTCGTTCACGGGCATCAACGGCACCTTGGCGCGCCCTCGAAGGGGTTCCACTCCACCCCTGCACGTTTATTGTAAAGTAAAACAAACAAACTATCGTTAGAGGCACCTCTTAAAATTAACGCGCTTCGTGCGAGCGAGTTGGCCCCCCAATCCCGCCCCCTGAGGCCTCCACGGGCCCTGTCGAGACCCCCGGTCTCGGCTTCGTGGCTCAGCCGGCTTCGATCGCCCTTCCCCGGCGGACAATCTAGGAAAGTGGCGCTCTCTAAATTTGCGGCCTTGTTTTGTTTAAGTGTGTGTTTTTTGTAGTGTTACGAACGGCTGAGCGTATTATTATTTATACGACGGTTGTTTAGTTTGTGAGTTGTTGTTGTTGTGCTGTAGCGGATAATTGTCAATACGTTTGGTTCGTGTTTAAGTTAAACGTCAAAGTATTTCACGGTGGGATGTTTCACACCGTCTCCGGTATTGTAATCGACGTGTTATTTTGACATTTTAAAATGTATCGGTGCAAACCGACAAATCCTAGGTAAACACAAGGATTGGGATGGAAACGCGTCCCAAAATACCAACATACGGGAGATGGAGCCGTTAAATGGGTGTGGACGGATTGTGGGGATGGCAGAGTGAACGTTTCCCACTGCGTTATTCCGACGCTTAACATTACATTTGAACAAAGATTGCAGAACCAACGTAATTATACTCGCAGACGTCAACCGTTGCACCAACGTTTACAACCACATTTTAGTTTCATTTATTTGGTGGTATAGCCCTGTGAGCCATTCGGCTCTTGAATTGGGTGCAACCGCAACAAACAAAAAACATGAACAAGAAAACATCTTAAAGTGAATATGTGACTATGGGCAAACAAAAAATCTAAGAAAAGACAACAAAATATTGCAGAAAAAGCACCGTACACCAACGTTGTGTGCAAAAATCCCAGTGGGATGCAAGTCAAACAACAACCACAAGACAATGTAGATTAAGGCCATCAGTCTAACTCCGTACTACAACAAGCAGACATGGCCAAACCAAAAAACGTTTTCGAAATCACCAAAATAAAGCCATAAAAGCAATGTAACAGTGATCATAGGAACTGTGACCAATTTTTCACAATAAACGACATAAACAACATGTACCACTAAACCCTGCAGCCATAGCTGGCTGCATGTGTCACTCCACAACAGCAGGAGCATCAGTCGGAGTATCAACAAATGTCAACGTCCGTAGGCTCGCGAGCGATGGCGTGGACTTGATGAGGCCTCAATGCAGCATGAGATGGACAACACGGCTATCAATGATGATGAAAGTACAGTATTGCCAATTCAAGTGGTACCCAAACAAGTGAAATGTCTGGCGTGTGCCCATAGACTGGAGAAGATTGACACCCAATGCCTTGCAGCGTGGGAGTCTGAGTTAGTTTGAATTGCGTCATTTATAATTCAGATGGAAGGCGGAGTTCGAACAAGTCGGAACATTTGGTGGTATTGGCTTGACATTGCTTGACAATATCTACATTGCATAAGGGGTTGGAGCCTATTGTGGTAATGTCCCAACAATACAACAGGACCTATACTTGCCATTGTCCCAGATCTGAATGAAACTGGCATTTGTAAAACATAATTGAGATGAAATGGCATTGCGACCATATTTGTGATATTGAAACGCATTCAACTAAAGTACACTTGATCACTGCTGTGAAAAGGCACAATAACGTTAACCATTTGCCATAATGCTGTTTCTAACCCCATCTGTAATCATAACACACATCTAAACTTCAAGGAGTCATTTTACTAATTTAACCAGAACCATTGTTCTGTGTAGACAGTAGTGGATAACAATGCAATTGTAGTGCCTAACTCCTCTTATCTCTTACAAAAAAAGTTAAAATAAAGTTACCAAACTGTCCAATTCATTGCGGATGTACAGTAAGGCAAAATCAAGCCGAGGATGTAGTTGCAACAGCAATGCACACCCTCTACGCATATTTCACAAGGCGTGCAACAATATAGTTTGTGTAAGGTCAACAGTGGTTCTATAGAGAGACGTCCCACCAGATGATCGCCTCTCCCCATTTGAGCATGGAAACACTTTTAACCAGCCAAATAAAAGCTGCTTAGGCGTGCAATAGCTGTGTACACAGACGACATGACTCAGCCAATGCATCCTCACCTTGCCAGAGGAGTCCACTGACGCAACTGTGTAGATCTACCAGTACCCGTGTAAGCCTCTGATGAATCATAGACCAGAATAATGTCAAGCTTGGCGTGTGGGTGTGCCTGTAAGTGTACTCCCACAATACAGTGGTAACGAAATTGTGCATATAATAATTCATCTGCCAAAATAACTTTTTTCCCACTTGCATTGCATGTCATGTATGTAAAGCTCATTTATCTGTGATAAAAGCAATGTATGCACATTGTACGCACAATTTTCCTTCAGGTTGATGGCACAAATGAGACAACATACGACAGAACAAATTTGCCACAACAAACACAAAATAACGCCTCCGATTAAAATCTGGCCGCGATATATGACTCAAATGGAATTGTTAAATATCTAACGGTAAGCACACGTGTGACTTCACAAGCATGCTTGCAGAACTCTTAGGGATGTATACATTGGCATGCAGACTACACTGGAAGGGTCTGGCATGTGTACTTTTAAGTGGTAACGATATGTGAGTCGTACAACATCATGGAGATGGAACTATGAAATGAGCTCGTGTGCAGGTGTCGAGTATACAGTATTACTATATACGGCAGGATCGTGGGAGATAGCGGAGGCTTGCGGAAGCCTTCCAACCAGCAGTGGATTAGCAGTGGCTGATGACGATGACATCATGGGGGAAACCCTCAGGGTCTTGCAAACCCCTGCATAGAGGCTCGACGTGACCGCCAGCATCATAAGGCTCAAAGATTGGCCTTTTGGCATGTCATGTTCATGAAGTTGATTCTCATCAGGGTCTGGACAATAAACCACAGGTCGGTTAGCTGATTGGCACAGTGGCCCCGCTGACTGAGCACATGCCTCTGTGCACCAAAACTGTAGGGCATTGTACATTCTTACATAAAACCACTTAATGGGAATTTAACAACTTAAAAATTCGGCTGCGTGTTCTGCAGGAGGGGACTTTGGAACGCTTACAAACAACGCAATAGACCGTCGAGTTCACCTCGGGACGGATTTGTGAAACTGTGCCGTTCTTTGTGTGACATGACACGCGCAGGATTTATGAAACTGCACGACGTTAAACTTTTAAGTCACGGCAAGCGTTGTGCATCATGCGAATGGGTTTTTGGTTAAGATTATGATTGTTGTGATGCTGTGTTTGAGATCACACCTGCGATGAAATACTCTTAACTGTTACATAATTGTTTCAACTTCATTGTTTTCTTACTTTCATTCCAATATAGTTGTCTCTATATGACCTCAAAGTCACCCAAAGCTCAAATAATCATAGGGTGGTTCTTTTCTCCGTTGAAAACCCAGAACCAGTGATGGAAATTCCACTTTGCTGTGGCAGGGGTCAGCCTGTATGTTTAAAGTCACTGGAGTTATCCCCACACAAAGCGGGTGCCCCATTATGTTGACTGTGGAGGGATGATGGGTGGAGTTGACCTCCATTTGACGTTTGAACTCACGACCTTTCGATTTTGTGTTGATGTGCGTGTCCAACAGTGTCAACCAACCATTGTAGCTTTAAAATATAATTAGCAAGGCATCTATCACTAATTTGAACATGAAAGGGATATCCAAAATAAGTTTAACTTAATTCGTATGTTACGTCAGTGCAATCGGTATTTCAGCTGATTTTTTTTACTTGAAAATATTTCACCCGAATAATCCCTTCAGATGAAACATCTCGTTTTCAAGGGTGTCTTAGGGTGTTGATTGTCACTTAACATAGCGAACACGTAACGACACGTACACAAGCCGTTTACATATGTTGTAACTTGTTCAGTCTACATTTTTACAATGAACATCACATCCAGTCAAACACATAAATAAATACATACATAATTAAGTGGTTCACATAGAATGTGCTCGAGCTGGAACAGTTGTGCGTGTTGTGGAAGTGTGTTTTAATTGCAGTACTAAAATATTAACTATATAAACCAAAAAACTATTGAGATATATAGATGTTTTTCAGAAGCGACCTGGCCACAATTGATGACTCAACTAAGTGGCTTATCACGTGGACATTTATAGTAATCAAATACTCTAAACACACGTTGATTCTAAATGTGGAGGGAAAACCGGAGGACCCGGAGAAAAAAAACTACGTGACCACGGGGAGAACATGCAAACTCCAAATATATATTTATGTCAGGGTCGGGATCGTACCCACAACCTCCTGTATACCAGGCGAGGTAGTTAACATCTCTCCACCGTGGCACCCTATGTTGAGACTGGCTAAGTGCGTGTGGAAGATTGTTCCATGTTAAAGCAGCTCTGTTTCTGAATGATAGAGTGTCTGTTGTTCTGTACAGTATAAAACACATGGCTCTTCCAGGCACTGCTTTCCTCTCACATGCAGTTGTTCTGAATAATACAATTGGCCAAACATCCCAAACAGTGACCTTTCAAATAAATAGTCTTGGCACGCAATACATTGAATTTGGTATTTACAGTATAGAGAATATAGAGTCTACAACAGCGGTCCCCAACCTTTTTGGCACCAGGGACCGGTTTTGTGCAAGACAATTTTTTCACGGACGGACGGGGGGGGTCATCATTGGGTCTTTCCCCCTTTTCAAAGAAGCTCTCTAGCGACGTTTGTTTTTTACTCATTTTGGCTGCTAGGGGTTAGAACTTGTGGGCTGACCAAAACTGTAACTGAGACAAGTACGCAGTGCGGGAAAGAGACGCGGACGGAAGTGGTAAATTTAGCGATGGACGGGCCACGCACGGACTCACCGCTCACCTCCTGCTGTGCGGCCCGGTTCCTAACAGGCCGCGGACCGGTACCGGTCCGCGACCCGGGGGTTGGGGACTCCAGTTCTACAGCATGCAGTGTGGAGTACAGGATTGCTCGCCATGTTTAGTGCTTAACTCACATTGTCAAGGTGCAAGTTCAGGCCTGTTTGGGGTGGAAACTCAGCCCATCATCATCCCGCTGAGGATGACAAAAAGAGTCCACATTTGTGAAAACTCAAAAGTCTTTCTGAGCCCAGTAATGCCAATGTGGAAATTGTACTACTGTCTCGAGGCCACAAAAGGAGGAGCAGGGAGACACACTTCAACATACAGTAGTCCCTCGGTTAACTTTTTTTTAATCCGCTCCACGGAAACTGCTGTTAACCCAAATAACTGTTAATTGAATATAGGAATTAGATGAGTCTGCAATGGAGCTGTTTCCACTGCCAAAACAGAAAACTTAATGTTAACAAAGCCAGTCGAGGTCTGAACGCTCATAAATGGACACAGCTGTTTGGCTGAGGGCCTGGATCAGCCCCACTTACGAGCGCTCGAATTGGCCGAAATTAGCGCACGTGTGCAGAACGTAAACATGCCGTTAGTCAGAATGTTAACGGTAGTCGAAACTATGGGGTCCTATGGGAGGCGAAACATCAACCGAAAAAAACGTCAACTTAACCGAGGGACTCCTGTGATGTATTTTAGAAACACGTTTTGACAGAATTTGAGATGTATTGACACCCGGTGAGAGAAAACGTGTTTAACGAGGCTACCTAATTGTGGGATGGAGCACTTTTCAAGTGGGCTAAGTGGTGCCGTAATGCTCGGCAAGTTGACATCCGCATTGCAGATTTGGATTAGAGTATTTGGCTGCTATAAATTTCCACGCGATAAGCCACTTTGTCGGTTCTGAAAAAGAACTAATAGCCCAGTGGGTAAAACAAAAAGAGTAAAGTTTTCGTTTATTCATTTGCTTACCTTTCCTATACTTTGCACTCCTATCGTATTTGTTTTTGCAACTTTCTGACCCTGGTGGACAGCTGTGGAAAAGAGCTTCATAACTCATCGGATTTCTTCAGGATGAATCAACATTTTGATGAGCGGTGGCTGTGTTGTTTGCGACAGATATCTGCCGGGTGTGCCGGTCGGAGGGGACTGTGGACAAGCCGCTCTTTCACCCTTGCGTGTGCACGGGCAGCATCAAGTTCATCCACCAGGACTGGTGAGCTGCCTTTGGCGTTGGGGAGTTTTTACCGAGCGTGGTGGGGGGGATGAGGAGATGTGTGGGCCGAGGCTCTGTGCGATCGCCTGGTCAAGATATGGGAATGTTTTGTACTGGAGAACTTATCCCGAGTGACTGAATAGAAGCAGCCTCGGGCCAATTCACTTGGAACGCACCCGGATCTTGTGGGATCTTGTGGGACCTTTTATGCTAAGCTGGGTTGAGTGGATACTCCTTGGATATATGTACGTTGAACTTCTTTCGCACCATACGTAGCTAATCGGAGGTGCGGGGAAGGACAACAAACTAAACACAAAAAGCAGTAGTATGAGTAACCGCCATGCACAGCAGGTTGTTGTGGGCATCTGTGGGTCTGCGTGGTGGGCAGCAGAGGGCAGAGCAGCAATATCTAGTGTTGTCCTGTATTTCTATGCTCCCACATCTACGCTTCCCACCTTTACCAACCCGCACTAATTAGCATGATGCAGTGTGGTCACATAACTTTCACGACTTGCACGCGGTAGGTCGGGAGGCCTCTTTCTGGTCTCCAAAAAATGTACACTTGACACGGAGAGTTACTGTTGCAGCCTGCAACAGTAACTCTGTGTGCTGCACAAACATTTGCACCTGACTCTGTTGTTATTAAAGCCACGTCGACCTCATGAGAGCTCATGTGTGCCTCTGTGTCTCTACGCTCGGCACACAACAATCTGCAAAGCTAAAGGGACGATCTCTGTCTTTATTGTTTGTGTGTGGGGAGGGGAAGTGAAATGGTTAACGCACTGTGCTACTGACACCGTGACGTGAGTTCAATTCCCGCTCACGGCCAACATCGGTGACGAATAACCATTCCTGGGTCTCCCCTAAGTCGATGCTTGGCTGGTGCAGGGGAGAAAAAAATCCGGGCATGGTTTAGGCCACACCACCCCCTCATATGCCGTTCCGGCCTACATAGGTGGTCACTAACAGCACTTGACCTATCATTTTGTTCAAGGCTACATGGGTGATCTTTGTCTTTCTCTGTCTTCGTGTGGTTGCAGCCTGTTACAATGGCTCAAGCACAGCAGGAAGGAGTACTGCGAACTGTGCAAGCACCGCTTCACGTTCACGCCAAGTAAGCGTAGCCTCTGGACAATCGATACGGTTTACACGTTAGTCCAGGGGTGATTATCCACCTTACGACAACGCATCAATGAATCGAATTCAAATAGATTGTTCCCGTTACGAGACGTTTTTGTGTGTGTCCCGCGTTGGTGCAGTTTACTCTCCGGACATGCCGCCGCGCTTGCCAGTCGGCGACGTGGTGGCGGGCCTGCTGGCCAGTGTGGGCACGGCGCTGCGGTTCTGGTTCCACTACACGCTGGTCGCCTTCGCGTGGCTCGGGGTCGTGCCGCTCACCGCCTGTACGAACGCACGCATGCACGCACGCACGCACGCACGCGCCGCCATGCTCGGTCGCACAACTCGCGGCACAAGCCTACGCAGCGACTGCGAGAACAAACGCTCGCAACAACTGTGTACACGTGCAGACCTTTTGTCAATCCACAGCTGGATGAGGGACTTCCCCGTGCCGTGCAGGTAATGGGGGTTAATGAGACATGCTTCACCACACAGGTCAGCGCTGGGTAGACAAAAACAGCCAAGCGTTGAGCCGACCACACCTCCCCTTCGTACGCCATGCCAGCCCTCATAGGTGTTCGCATGCAACACTAGCCCCAACAGTCTACGTGGGCCATACATGTTGTGGGGTTATGTGAACATACTTCACCACGCTGGCCAGAACGTACGTTTGTTGAACTTCTTTTGCACCGTACGTAGCCAGCCGTGCTAATCGGAGGTGCGGGGGGATGGACAACAAACCCAACACAATAATCAGTTGTAAAGAATGCATTTTCGATCTAGATTTGAAAGTGCATGGCCCCAGTGGCTTCCTGATATCGGAAGGAAGAACAGCCACAGAAGGCATCTGAAAGCGTGCGTCTTTGTTCAATGGTTAGCGCAAATTGGTGAGGGTGGGGTGCACAGACATAGGTGCATAGAACCACACAGTACGACAATGGATTTTCTACACTGCCCTCTGCTGCCACCACCTAACCCTGCAGCCCTATGACAATCTGGTTTTGCATGGCAGGCCCCCATGCATGGTGTGTGGTGGTCACCCATCCAAGCACTGTCCAGGTTCAAACCTGATCTTATAATAATTTATATAGCGCCTTATGTAAGGCGCTTTACACAGAATTAACAATGGTACATATGAATGTAATGGTGGAGATTAGGTGTATGAAATAGATGAGAGTGACGCAATGGGGGCAAACCTGTGATGCGTGAAATCGGTGAAAGCTAAATTGATTACAGTAAATGATGATGAATGGTTTAAATGAATGGGAAATGAGTGAGAGCCACATGAGAATACGGACAGGGAAAAGTAACCCTATCCAGGCTTAGGTGGGCGTTCCGTCAATACAAACAAGGTCTCCAAAATGGCCGTAGTGTTTTACAGACCTTATCCTTCCCCTGCACCTTCTATTGGCACGGTTGACGACGTGCGGTGCAAATGAAGTTCAATGTACGTACACACAAGACAATCGCAGTGGGATTTAAGAGAGAAATTTAATGCAAAACAATGACAAGCTACTAAACTAGCACCACAGAAAACGTGCAATCCAGCTTCATCCCACGTGCACACTACTACATGCACAATACAACATGATACTACACAAGCAGTCTTTAAAACATCTCCTGTGCAAACCTCCTGGAAAGTGTTCATGCTGCGTGTGTATGTGTGTGTCTTTGTCTCTGTCAGGAGTGGTCGTGTAGCGGTTAGCGCGCTGCACTACAAGCCCGAGTTTGATTCTTGCTCACAGGCAACACCAGTGACTATTATCTGAACTGGTCCTGGACCTCCCATAAGTCTATTCAGCCTCAAATGAATACCTGGTGTGGTGTGTAAACATCGCCATTGGGGAGTCAAATGCGGCCGGGTGTGGTGCTGGCCACCCACCCCCTTGTGTGCCGTGCCGGCCATCATAGCTGCTCGCTAACTACACTTGTCCCAACAGTCTATTAAGGCTACACGGGCGATCTTTGTCTCGGTGTGTCTGCAGGTCGGATATACAAGTGCCTCTTCACGGGCTGCGTGAGCTCGCTGCTCACCCTTCCCATGGACATGTTGTCAACGTGAGTGTAGCCGTGGTTCATCACTTCATCACCATTCCCAAAACAATGACCACGTAGGCAAATTGCCACCTGGTTGCCATGGAAAAAACACACTTTGCAGTGCATTTTATCACGTGTGCCACCTTGTGTGGACAAGAGGCACAAATTTGCTCAACTCCGGAAGGCGTTTTGCGAAGTCCTCTTCCGGCGGTCATTCTGTGACTCAATTTATTTACCCGGGAGATGAAATAATCCCGTTGAGACACGTGAAACGTAATTGCCTCTTATGCAATACCTTCCCCTCCCCCCTCCCGTCGCTCACCGATGTTTTCCCGCCCCTGCAGGGAGAACATCCTGGTGGACTGCCTGCAGGGCTGCCTGGTGGTCACGTGCACGCTCTGCGCCTTCATCAGCCTCGTGTGGCTGCGTGAGCAGATAATGCACGGTGGCGCGCCTCCCTGGCTCGAGCAGAACCACCTCGCCGCACGTGCCGCGCAGCACCCGCAGCACCCGCAGCAGCAGCCGCAACCGCAGCAGCCTGACGGACAACAGGTTGAGTGCGCTAGCCGTCACCCGCAGCACCCGCAGCACCCGCAGCACCCGCAGCACCCGCAGCACCCGCAGCACCCGCAGCACCCGCAGCACCCGCAGCACCCGCAGCACCCGCAGCACCCGCAGCACCTGCAGCAGCAGCAGCAGCCGCAGCCTGACGGACAACAGGTTGAGTGCGCTAGCCGTCGCCCGCAGCACCCAGGGCCAATGATAAATAGATCTGCAGCAATATTGGACACAGAATGAGAAATTATAGTTTTTAACTCTGTTGCTGAGCACAGGCCCAAAGAGACCCAACATGTTAAGCAGCCAGCAAGAAAAGCATGGTAAAAGTTGCGATGGATAACAGTTCACACACCATTCTTGAATTGAGCAAGTTTATTGGAAGAGCTTTGGGGGGGGGAAGGCGATGGGAGGGAATTCCAAAGTGGGGCAATGCGAGGGGAAAAAACAGGAAGAGAGGCGTTGTAACCACTTGCATTGTGGTGGTCGAACACATTATTATTGCAATTATAATTGTAATGAAAAATATAAAAACGAAAACTTTATTTTACCAGGTAAGGCCCATTGAGCTATATAGCTCTTTTTATAGAGAAGCGACCTGGCCACAAATGATAGCTCAACGAAGTGGCTAATCACGTGGACATGTATAGCAGCCAAACACTCTACATGCACGTTGATGTTAAATGTGGAGGGAAAAACCTGAGGACCCGGAGAAAAATCCACAACGACCACGGGGAGAACATGCGCACACTCCAAATATACAGGCGTTGGGGTTTGGATTGAACCCACGACCTGCTGCATACCAGGCGAGGTCGTTAACATCTCGCCACCGTGGCAACCGATTAATAACCAATGGCACAATTCCAGTCGTGATCGATGAATTAAGATGTGCCCACCCAATCGGCGCGAGAGCCACGACGGGCACGGCGTGCTCGCCTTCCACGCCCCGCGAGTGCCGTCACTCACGCTGTCCTCTCTCGCCAGCTCGACCCCGAGCCTCCGGACGAGGCCCGGGTCGCCCAGGCTCTGCCGGCCGATGCCGAGGACGAGGAGGACGAGGACAACGTGGACGAAGGGGACGAGGAGGAAGAGCAGGCGGGCGACAACGCCAATAACGATGCGCAGGGTGGGTGGCCGCCTTCCCAATTTTTGTGTGACCTTTGAGCTCGTTGTTGACCTGGGAAGGTGATGGCACCGAGTATGCGAATCGATGATGGTCATGTCGCCGTTGGATTTTCCTTGTGTGCTGCACAGAAGACATGAACTGGAACGCCCTGGAGTGGGATCGAGCGGCCGAAGAGCTGACGTGGGAACGGGTAAGGTGCAGTTCTCTAGAGAGAGGATATTTTGAGCTCTTTGTTCCTTGCTGGCTAGAGGCGGGTGTACCCACACTTTCGCCTTCCACATGGGACCTGCCATTAAACTACCGTGGTGTACCGATTTTTACTGCTGGGTGGACGGCGTTGTTGGTGGGGGGGGGGGGGGTTAATAAACTTGTTTCAACTGCTTCAGATGAATGAACGAACGCATTAACTAATTCAGCAGCCAGTAAGATCCCACAAGTGAAAATTAGCAAGAAATGAGATCTGTTAAAATAACAAATGAGTAACGGTCCCTGCATCAAGTAAAACCACCACGTGTCCTTTTTGAGAGAGTGAATGTCACTCTGTTCCCACTCGTTTAAATATGGAATATTGAAACATGTATCCGGGTGATTAAAATAAGTAACATTTTTATGAAAAATCATCCGTGGCCATCCTTTTGATTAGTCATAGGAATGTGGAAATTCCGCTGCTGGCTCGGGGCTACTGATGGAGACGAGTGCTGTCTTGTCATTGGGTTTTGGAGTTTGAAATTCCTTGCAAAAAATAGGTAAAAAGTGCTACGCCAGGTGATCATGTAAATCGTGACTAAGATGACGTGATATTAAGTCGGCTGAATCATTGCTGATGACGTCGAGAAGCATAAGCCATCACGCAAACTCCGGTCATCCTCACAGCGGCTTTTGGCTAACCATCAAACAAAGACAAGTCACTGCATCGCGCGCTTTCAGATGCACACTTCTGTGGCCGTCTGGAACACTCTTTAACACGTAGGTTTTCGCGACCAATATTATTCATAATCAACGTTTTTGGGTTTAGATCGCGTTATTTATAAATGTGTCGTAATCCTCCACCACCCGACACGGCCAATCAGTAAAAAAGTGTCACGTTGACAAAAGACAAATAGTTCACTGCTTTAGCCCACCGGTGTGTTGAAGCGTAAAACCACGATGATGCTGGATGCAATTACCAGCGAAACATCGTACTCAAATTGTAATTGTTGTGGTTTCACGCTTCAACACACCGGTGGGCTAAAGCAGTGAACTATTTGTCTTTTGTCAACGTGACACTTTTTTACTGATTGGCCGTGTCGGGTGGTGGAGGGTTACGACACATTTATAACGCGATCTAAACCCAAAAACGTTGATTATGGAACGTTCTTCCTTCCGATATTAGGAAGCCACTGGGAGGGATGCACTTATAAATCACCTACATTGACAAACTGATCTCTTTAGAATTGCTTGTTGTGTTCAGTTGTCCTCCCCCCGCACCTCCGATTAGCACGGTTCACTACGTACGGTGCGAAAGAATTCAGCGTACATACATCCAAGGAGTATCCACTCAACCCAGCTTAGCATAAAAGATCCTAAAAGATCCCACAATATCCGGGTGCGTTCCAAGTGAATTGGCCCGAGGTTGCTCCTATTCAGTTCAACATACATACATACATGTGTAAGGAATTTGAGATTAGTGTTTTATTGAAGTTGGCTCAGCGGTGGAGCGAGCAAATCTCAATCAAAATTTTGTGAGTTCAAATCCTGGTCCAGGGCCGGTTGACTCGGCCCATCATCCCTCCGTGGTTGATAAAATTAGTAAGCACTTTGTGGGGAAGTCAAGAGTGGTTGCCACATGGGTAGATTTACCCTTGCCATAGGAATATGAAATTGTCATAACTGCACCAGGGTCTTGCACAGGAAACGAGCATCATCTCAATGCTCATTTGAGCAGGAAATTGCTGTGACTCGTTTGTTTGTTTGCTTTTATCTGCAGATTCTGGGGCTTGATGGGTCACTCATATTCCTGGTAAGACCGACTCGCTCGTCCTCATGTTGGGAAAGATTCCCACCACGTCATTATAAACACAAAGTTTATCCTCTCCTGTGTCGGTGACCAAACAGCAGTGACTCTCCCTCTGGGCTCTCATCCGTGCTTTGAGTGGTGGTTCAGCTTCGTCAGGTTTTAATTCACAGGCCCTGTCGACTTGAACCTTGTTCCTCTCTCTGTATTCGCAGGAGCACGTGTTTTGGGTGGTGTCGCTCAACACTCTGTTTATTCTGGTCTTCGGTGAGTGCAGCGCTTGCGAACAGGTTCCTTGTCGAAATGTGTTTGCTGACCGTGCTATCCGAATTTTACATAGATGTTTAAAATATGTTAATTTTAAAATGAAGTTATCACTATAACTAACAAAGATGCAATTAAAAGGCAACGACAATTTGGATGAGACACTGTTATCTGCGTATTAACTATTTTCCCCAAAATACAGTAAACCTAAATGGCAAAGTTTTGTTTAATTAATAAAATAAACGATGATGAGTGTGTACCAGTGTAAATGTAAATACTTTATTTATGCAATCTTGTGGAAGTGGTGATTTGTGGTTAAAACACCAAACTTTCAATTGTAAAGTTAAAAGTTTTTATCCAGGTCGAAAGTTGACTCAGCTCAACATCTTTCTGCTTCGATAAAATCCGAAAGAAGTTCCACATATGTACAGTACCAGTTTTTTGGCAAAGCTGCAGGGATGTCTTGCGGATACATTGCACCCTACCATAGTAACGTGGATTTTCCACCACCGGTTTGTTATGGAATGGTGATTAGCGTCGCCCTACGCTTGTTTGAGATGCTTGACATTGAATTTTGTTGGCCTATACATTAATGTAAGTGTCGTGTATGTGTGTGTGTGTATATACGAACGAAATCTAATGTGTGCTTTTGTTGTTGTTAACAGCATTCTGTCCTTACCACATTGGCCATTTCTCCGTGATCGGCCTGGGATTTAAAGACTTTGTAAGTCACCTCAGCGTTCATTAACATTCATTAATTTCTCTGTAAACTTTTAAAATAAACCCATCCGAGATGGTGAATTGGACGTTGTGATCAGGCATGTAATGATTCGGTCATTACAATCGATTCTTACATTCACAATACATACGTGCTTAGAATTGTGATGGCAAACATATGTATGTTTTTTTTGCTGTTTATGCACCATTTTTGCAAATGTTATATTTTGGCCGATTGAATAATTCAGACAGTAATTATGAGGCAGAAAACACCAATACAAATGAGACAGAAAATCAAGGCAAGACTCGATTCTTTAAATTGAGTCGCCACTCTAAGAAATGACAATTGCAACCTTTTGGGGGGACGGGCGGTGAATTAGAGGCCTAAATTGAATGCATCAGTGTAGTGACGTCACTAGAGCAGCCCATGGCTGCCGCACAACTTGTAAGGCTGTTTTTTTACTATCAGTGCTTAAAACTAAACTGAAAACATAACTTTATTTTATTTTATTTACCCAGTCATGCCCACTGAGCTTTTTAGCTCTTTTTCAGAAGGGACCTGGCTTAAAATGATAGCTCAACGAAGTGGCTTATCGTGTCGACATTTATAGCAGCCAAATACTCTAAACACGTGATGTTGATTCTAAATGTGGAGGGGCAAAACCGGAGGACCCGGAGAAAAAGCCACACGACCACGGGGAGAACACGCAAACTCCAAATATACAGCAGGCGTCAGAGTCGGGATCGAACCCACGACCTCCGGTATACCAGGCGAGGTGGTTAACATCTCTGCACCGTGGCGCAACTCATGTTAGACAGCCCGAAATGCACAGCCCAAGGGTGCGTTTGCTTGTGACGATCTGTTTTTTTTATTTGTCGGTCGTATCTTCCTGCAAACGGAGGCGGCATCGCTCCGAACGAAAGGAACCCTGCTCTGAGTGGCACGACGCAAATGTGCTTTGCCGGCAGGTGGAGGCGTCGCACTTTGAGGGCCTCATCACCACCATCGTGGGCTACGTGCTGCTGGCGTTCACCCTCATTCTCTGCCACGTATCCTCGCTCAGCCGCCGCTGGCTCTCTCGTAGCAGCAAGTGCCGTGTCTTTGTCAATGTCTGCGTCGGTTGTGTGTGTCGTCTTTAGGTTTTCATTAGCACAGTACCAATAACCTTTTTCTGTTGTCAAACTTTGGCGTCCTTGGTTAAAGCTGTGGTCTTCACTTTACACGCAAAGGACACTGGCTCATTAATCAGCTTTGGTAACAACTCTAGATTTGTATTACAATTACGACAGTCTGCATGTTGTGTCCCCATAAGGCAGTGTTCTTCATTGCAAAGCCCGCAGACAACAGGCAGCCCCTGGGTGGCCTTTAGTGCGCCCCCTAACGTGCAGCCCCCAACAATACACAAATGGTGAAAACATCCCCCATTATCATCAAGCTGCTGTCAAACGCCCAATGGTTTTGAATGTGTGGCGGCCCTCACACTGACTGATGTCTTATCGGCGAAAGCGCCCCCCCCCCCCTCTGAACATGAGTGAAGAACACTGCCATAAAGCAAGCGTTCCTTACAGTGATGTAGCATGATTTATATGGGCCCTGGTGCAAGAAATTAGAGGGGGGCGGGGGAGTCCTTATCCAATGACCCCCACCCCCTCTCGTCGTAACCTGACACTTAGATCCCAGCCAGACGGCTCATCGGTCGAGCCGAGCGGCACGCGGTTGGAAGGTTGCGACTTCAAATCCTAGATTGGTGGTTCACTCGGCCTCTCGTGCCCTCCAGATACTGTAAAATGGGAACCAACTGTGTGGGGAAGTCAATATTAGTTATTCTTAGGTTTTTTCGGTAAAGTCACGTAGGTAAAAAATTAAAATTAATAAAAGTTAAATAAAAAAGAAAATAAAAATCACGACGTTTCGGAGGCAACACAAGCTTCCATTTTCAAGACTTCAGGACGGAAGCTTGTGTTGCCTCCGAAACGTCGTGATTTTTATTTTATTTTTTATTTTACTTTTATTAATTAAATTTTTTTACCTACGTGACTTTACCGAAAAAACCTAAGAATATGAATCCTTGCAGTCACGAAAGCTTCAAATCTAGAATTCATATTATTAGTCCTCAAGATAGTCCCCACCGTCACCATAGGAATGTGGAATTTCAATTGCCGGCTCAGGGCTGTCACCAAGAGATGAGCACTGCCTCGATGCTCGTTTTGAGCAGGAAATCACTTTTGAGGGCCTTCTGGCTCGTGAAGCGTGGTGCAGTTGCGCCACCTGCACGCTCGCTAGTTGCAACACTGGTTCCTGACACCGACGCACCTTTTGCCCGTGCATGCCCGCCCCGCTCGTTCGCCCACCCGCTCCCTCACTTCGCCCCTTTTCCCTGACGGCGCCTCCAGGGCCTGGCGTCGCTCGTGCGGTTCCAGCGCTCGCGCCGACTGCTCGGCGTCTGCTACATCGTCGTGAAGGTGGCAGCGCCAGCGCGCGCGCGCGCGCACGCGCACAACGACGATTCGCTCCCTCCACGACTCTACGAATTGTCCCAAATTGCATTGGGCCAATCGGATCCTTTTTGCTGCCACTTTTTGAGCACGGTGGATGTCTTGTGATATGAATGTCGAATCTATAGATGGGCCCTTTTTGTTTGTTGACGCTGCAGGTGTCTCTTCTGGTGGTGATGGAGATTGGAGCGTTCCCTCTCGTTTGCGGATGGTGGCTTGACATCTGCTCTTTGGTACGAGGCCACGTGACCTAATCCCATTCTGATCACCTCCACACCCCCACCTCCACACTCCCACCTCCAAACTCCTACCCCCTGCCTCCCACCTCGAAACGCCTACCCCTTGCCACACGCTAACCTCGCGTCCGACCCCAGAAGAGCAATTCTGTAATTAATGAGAAACTTATGAATCCTTTACTGGACAGGGATTAAGGTGAGGTCAGGAGGGGGCGGTCGTATTGACTCACGTCACACGCATTGAACACACCATTAGCCCCGCCTCTAGCACGGCTTAAACTTAACTAGAAACTACGTTTTTCTTTTACGAGGTAAGGCCCACTGAGCTGTTTAATTATGTTTCAGAAGCGACCTGGCCACATGATAGCTCAGCGAAGTGGCTTATCACGAGGAAAGTTACAGCAGTAGCCAAAATATACAGGCGTCAGGGTTGGGATCGAACCCACGACCTCCTGCATACCAGACGAGGTAGTTAACATCTCATAGCCACCTTGTCTTGACGCCACAGCGAGATTGAAATGTCTTGTGGAGGCAGCGGAGCACGGCTCGGTTTCGGCTCTGCTCGGTAAAATGCCGTCGGAAAATTATCCGTGCCTGGCTGGCCCCTTGCTGACTCGGCTCAGATGTGCAAGTGGAAATCTCGCGGTATTATAAGCTTGGTCTCGGGGTACGGGTCTGACTCATTGATTATAAACAATGCGGTTACCAAGAGTAACCAGCGAGCACGAACACATTACGTCACGCGCGCGAGTGGCCGTTGAAAATGTTTTATTCGCTTGCAGTTACTTAGCAAGTTAGGATACCTCACAAAATGGACTATTTGGTTGCAATATTGATGTTAATTAGTCGTACTATTATTTCTCAGAACCATGTTGGGTCAGGCATGGGGGTACTCGGTTGAAACAAAATGAAAGGGATACAGTCGCCAAAAAAGTTTGAGAAACACTCATTTAGCGTGCCGTGGAAATGAGGTGTTGGAGCAGGGATGGAGGAATCTGGGGATTGTGGGCCGCATTCAATTTATATGACCCAAGGCCTGAGGCCTAACACTTCGAGATGTCTTGCCAATAATATCTGACACTGCAAGCATTGTAGGTGCACTAATCAGGCACGACGTCTGGGATATCTTTGACCTGGAAACATCGTGTTTTTAATTTTAGCTCGCTCGGTCATCTGTGTGTGACATTACGGCGCTCTAACCCTGTGACGCCACAACTTTGTCCCAGAGTGGGACCACGCTCTCTCACGCCTCGTTTCCACTTGCGCGTCCGGGCCGTGCTCGGGCTCTGCCGAGCCAGCACGGCTTTACCATGTGCTCATCGCATCGCGTGTACAATGCTGTCAGCCTTGTGACTGCATCTGATCGATACCTGTGTGTCGATAGTTCAGTGTTAATGTGCCATTTTATTGAGGGACTCCTGCTGTGTGTTATCTTGGTGTGGTCTGGGACTGTTTTGCTGTTTTTGCTTCCTTGCCAAATCTTGATAAATCGGACTTATATTTAAGTATTTATTACCTATTTATATTTCGTGACTTGCTACTAATTTTCTATATTTTTCACTTCTATCGTGTGTTTTTGTATTGTTTGCCGCTGTAGCTTACTGACCCGCCCCACACTGGACATCGTTTGAAAATGGCTTCATAGCTCATCGGATTCCTCCTGCAGTCCTTAAATAAAGATTCTGATTCCAATCTCCCGCCACTGTGCGCCTTTTCAGGAGATGTTCGACGCCACCATGAAGGATCGCGAGGCCAGCTTCCAGTCTGCGCCCGGAACCACGATGTTCCTGCACTGGCTCGTCGGCATGGTCTACGTCTTCTATTTCGCCTCATTCGTCTTGCTGCTGCGAGAGGTGCGGGGAGGAGGCGGTTGCGGGGGACTCGTGAGTTTAGAGGGAAGGGAGGGCCCTGCCACAGTATTTTATGTATGTATGTTGAACTTCTTTTGCGCCGTACGTGGCCGATCATGCTCATCGGAGGTGCGGGAGACTCGTGAGTTTAGAGGTGCGGGAGGGCCCCGCCTCAACATCTACGTTTGTTGAACTTCTTTTGCACCGTACGTGGCCGATCATGCTCATCGGAGGTGCGGGAGACTCGTGAGTTTAGAGGTGCGGGAGGGCCCCGCCTCAACATCTACGTTTGTTGAACTTCTTTTGCACCGTACGTGGCCGATCATGCTCATCGGAGGTGCGGGAGACTCGTGAGTTTAGAGGTGCGGGAGGGCCCCGCCTCAACATCTACGTTTGTTGAACTTCTTTTGCACCGTACGTGGCCGATCATGCTCATCGGAGGTGCGGGAGACTCGTGAGTTTAGAGGTGCGGGAGGGCCCTGCCTCAACATCTACGTTTGTTGAACTTCTTTTGCACCGTACGAGGCCAACCATGCTCATCGGAGGTGTGGTGGGATGGGGGATGTGCGACGGCTGTGTTGGGACCATAGCGGCACGTGGAGGAATGTTTGCACTGGTTTGTGAAATGTTTGATCTCAATTTTGTCAAATTTCACTCCTCTGTCAATCCACTGCTAGGTGAAGGCCTCGCCACGCCGTGTTGGTTGTGGGGGGTTGTTTGACCATATTTCACCACAGTTGGTCAGTTTTGGACGCTGAAGCGGGGATGGTGTCCCTTGGCGACGGTGCGGATGCGGTGGACGGTCGTTCGGTGGACCTCGTGACGTCACCAAGTCGGCTGTGCCCTGTGACCCCCTGTCACTGCGTCCTTCTCACCGCCCGCCTCTCGCAGGTGCTGCGGCCGGGCGTGCTGTGGTTCCTGCGCAACATCAACGACCCGGACTTCAATCCCGTGCAGGAGATGATCCACCTGCCGCTCTTCCGGCACGCTCGCCGCTTCCTGCTGTCCACGGTCAGTGGCACCTGCGTCGGCAGCGCGGTGGCGTAGCGTGGTTGCCTCTGGCCCTGGTGCAACAAAATCAAATGGGGCCACCTGCCTTAATGACGGCGCCCCGGTGGTGCGATGGTAACTACTTCCTCGCCTCGTATTCAGCAGGTCGTTTGTTCGATTTAGACCCTGACGCCTGCTGTATATTTGGAGTCTGCATGTCCCTCTCCCCGTGGTCGCATTCATTTTTCTCAATGTGCGTTTAAGAGTATTTGGCTGCTGTATATCTTCACGTGATAAGCCACTCATTTGTGGCTAGGTCGCTTCTGAAAAAGATCTATGTTGCTCAGTGGGCCTTACGTGGTCAAAGAAAAATAGTTTATAGTTTCTATTCCATCCTCCCCCCCCACCGCCTACTTCATCGTGAACCCCGATGCAGTTGCAACACCTGCACACTCACTCGCTCGCTACAAAACCGAGACGGCGTTATGCGAACGCCAGGGTGCAGCGGCCGCACAGAAGTTGTGGGATCACGACGGCGCGACTTGCCGCGGGATTGTCACGGGGACCGCACGTGTCAGCTCGTGTGTCTCTCTCTCTCTGGTGTGCTGCTCCCACACTTAGGTTGTGTTCGGCTCCATCGTCGTGCTCATGCTGTGGCTGCCCATCCGCATCATAAAGGGGACCCTGCCGAGCTTCCTGCCCTACAACGTCACCCTGTACAGGTAACGTCGGGGAAGTACGCGTAAACCGCACCTCCGATTGGCACGGTTTTGGCTATGTACGGTGCGAAAGAAGTTCAACGTACATACGTGCGTGACAAGTTAATTTGATGGGTGCCGCGACGGTGCGAGGGAAAGACTGAAGATGACAAAGCGAGTCGTTGTGAAATGCAGACAAGAGTTGGTCTCGTAAAAAGCAGCCGGTTTACCAAATCCTCATAGCCACCTTCCAGATTAGTTTGTTGTATTTGCTCGTGTGTGTGTTTGTTTGTGGTTTGTGTAAAGTTGTGGTTACTGTGTGTGCATGTTTGTGTGTGCTCGTGTGAGGCAGTCGCAACAACGGAGGGCAGAGGAGTGACGCTTACAACGCCGGGCGGCTAAAACGCAGAAATTGGCACAGTGGGGAGCACAGGTGGTGCATCTTCAAGTCATCTCAGTTGGTCAACCCATGACACCTGGGTCTGTTCAGTGACCTGCCAGCGAGCCTTCGACACTTCACGTGGCCTCAAAGTGCACCTAGCATGGCACAAGCGCCGCGGTGACGTCGCCACCACTTAGTGGTGAATGGCGGTTGTTGTGCCCGTGTATTTATACGTGTGTGTGTGTGGTTCACGTGCGTGCGTGTGCGTGCATGTGCAGTGACGCCCCTGTGAGCGAGCTGTCGCTGGAGCTACTGCTGCTGCAGGTGGTGCTGCCGGCGCTGCTGGAGCAGGGCCACACGCGGCACTGGCTCAAGGGGCTTCTCCGAGCGTGGACGCGCACCGCCGCATACTTGCTGTGAGTGTACACGGCACACAGAACGTACACAGTACACACAGCACACACAGCGCACTGCCCAGCACACACGGTATAGAGCACACACATTACACGCAGCACACATTGCACTGCACAGCACACAACACACACGTTGCACTGCACACGGTACACACAGAACGCGCGCAGTACACACAGCACACAACACACACTGCACAGCACACACGGCACACAGAACGTACGCAGTACACACAGCACACACATTGCACTGCCCAGCACACAAGGCACACACAGAGTGCACGCAGTACACACAGCACACAACACACACTGCACAGCACACACGGTACACAGAACGCATTCAGTACACACAGCACACACATTACACTGCACAACACACACGGTACATTCTAGATTTGAAGCTTTCGTGACTGCAAGGATTCATACTCTTAGGTTTTTTCGGTAAAGTCACGTAGGTAAAAATAAAAATGATAGAAATAAAATTATAAATCACGACGTTTCGGAGGCAACACAAGTCTCCGTCATCAGGTGGGACCGTCACAGCTAGATTTACTGTATCACCTGTGACGGTCCCACCTGATGACGGAGACTTGTGTTGCCTCCGAAACGTCGTGATTTATAATTTATTTTTATTATAATTTCAAATTAGTTTTATTTTATTATTTATTTTTACCTACGTGACTTTACCGAAAAAACATAAGAGTACACACGGTACAGAGTACACGCAGTACACACAGCACACATTGCGCACTGCACAGCACACACCGTAGTGCACAGCGCACACAGAGCTGCAAAGGAGTGTTTGTCACGTGGCGTTCAAATTAAATTTGTTAATTCTTCCCCTTATTCCCTTTTATGTTCATTATCTTCTTCCTTACCTTCCCCCCCTCATATAAACTTTCGCTTCTCTGCTAGGAGCTCCCCACCTGGGTAGGGGAGGGAGCCCAATCCGCCCCTCTTTAACAAGCCCGGCTGTGTCGATCTCGGACTTTTGCTTGCGAGATTTATGCCCCCGCCCTCCTCCCCCTTCTGGTTCTGTGTTCGTTGCTACGTACCGGGCTCGCGTCGAGTTGAAATGAAAGCAAATTGACTCCGCTTGCCTCCAATACCCACAGGGACCTTCACTCCTACCTCCTCGGAGACCAGGACGAAGAGAACGAAAACAACGCCGAGAACGCGCGCGAGGAGGAGGAGGACGATGACGACGGGGAGGAGGAAGAGGAGGATGACGATGACGACGACGATGAAGACGACGACGAGGAGGAGGTGGCGGAGGAGGAGGAGCTGCTGCCGCCCCTCCTTGCTGCCGGGCGCAATGGGATCGCCGTCCCCATAGTGGAGGGGCTGCACGCGGCGCACCAGGCCATGCTGCAGCAGGGCGGCCCGACCGAGTTCCAGCCGTACACGCGGCCCCTGCACTTCCCCCTGCGTGTGCGTTTGCCGCTGCTCTGCGCTTGTGACAGCGCTGCGCTGGCTGTAACCCTGCGGTGGACCGGCAGCGGGGTCACTGCACGGGGACACTCTCGTTAATCCGCAAGCCCGTGGCCTGAAATAAACTGGCTCATTAAACTAAGCTATTTTATTTAGAGGTTAATGCCCACCCCGCGATTTATTCTTTCAGAAGCGATCTGGCCACTCACTCACCCCGCCAATAGTTCTCGAAACCACTCACTCACTCACTCAACCAATCATGCAACCGCTCATTCAAAAGCGGAGTAGAGAAAACATTGTTAAACTTAAAAGTAAACTATTTGTATTTTACCAGGTAATGCCCACTGAGCTATATCGCTCTTTTTCAGAAGCGACCTGGCTATCACAAATGATAGCTCAACGAAGTGGCCTATCGTCGCGTGGAAATGTATTGCAGCCGAATACTCTAAACGCGTGATGTTAATTCTAAATGTGGAGGGAAAAACGGAGGACCCGGAGAAAAATCCACGTGCCCACGGGGAGAGAGACTCGCACCCTCCAAATACACAGGTGTCAGAATCGAACACATGACCTGCAAACCAAGCGAGGTAACATCTCGCCACCTTGGCACCCCTTGTAATATGCCTAACCCGAACACGAACCACATGGCATGGGGAAGCCCTCATCCAGCGGTGGATTAACAAAGGGCTCTACATGTACAATGCAAGAGAGCTACAACTTTCAACTCTGTTTTACTGTGATGAGCTCGATGATGGCAGTCGGCAGAACCTCAAATATGCGTGTATGTACGTATGTTGAACTTCTTTCGCACCGTGCGTGGCCAACCGTTCTAATCGGAGGTGTGGGGGAAAGGACGGCAAAATGTGTCCATAATTAAGACGCAGAATGTATCACAAGTACTTTTGTGCCGTGTTGCTCTGCAGATCTTCCTGCTCATTGGCTGCATCTGCCTGACGCTGCTGTCCTCCAGCCTCACGTGCCTCGTCGTGCCAGGTGAGTCGCGCGGCGGCGGCGGCGGCAGCGTCGTGCACGCCTCTTGGCTGCGTTGCCGACCGCCTACCGAAGCTGGAATGACGGAGCGAAGGGAGACGTGGGACGGGGACGGGATTTGTGCCAGAAAAGCACCACGTGTGTGAACGAAATTTAAATTGACTTGGACTTGACATAATTTTCCTTTACCCCCATCTTTTAGTCTAGTTTGTTGTCCTTTCCACGCACCTCCAATTAGCACGATTGGCTACGTACGGTGCAAAATAAGTTCAACATACGTGAATTACCCCATTTGTACGATGGGAACGTATGGAATTCACAGCATCTCAGAAGCCTGTTCTCTTCTAATCACTTGTTGAAGAGTGTCCAAGATTCACAGCCATGTGTAGGACATGTGTTGAATTTAACACAAGCGCATAATTTTACGATTGTGTTGTAGCGTGCGCGCTCGGTCACTCGTTCGCGTGCGTGTCGTATTAGCATTGCCAATGTGGTTAATTGCACTGCGGCCACGATCTCGACAATCCCAGGTAAGATTTGCTAGACATGCATAATGCCAGTACCACCTATAGTACCCATCTTGGTCCTTCACTGGGTTGACACCACAGAATATGGGTAACCTGGCGTGGTAGGCGCTGTGAGAGGCAAATGCGGTATCTGGTGGTGTTAGAGTCACACCAGGCCCTCGCAAGCCGTGCCGGCCTTCGTAGGCGCTCGCTTAACAGCATTTGCTCTATCCGTCACTGTTGCCTCTGTGTGTCCCGTGCGTGTCCCGTGCGCGTTCTGTAGTGTTGGCAGGCCGTTACATCATGAGCATGTGGGCGGGCGGGCTGAAGCTGCACGAGCTGTACACGGCAGCGTGCGGGCTGTACGCGTGCTGGCTGGCGGCGCGCGCCGCCACCGTGCTGGCATCGTGGGCCCCGCAAGGCCGGCGCGTGCTGCTGCAGCGGCTCAAGGAGCGCACGCTCATGGTGAGCGGCCTCGCGCAGGTGGTGGGGGGGGGGGAGGCGCCGCGACATCACGCGAGCGGATTTGTGGCGAGGACCCCCTCTTTTACCGCGTTGCTGGAGATCAATCATTTTACAACGTGTAAAGAAATGCCGACTGGAAGACGAGGTCGATGCTGAATCTGCCATTGATGCTGACATTGGCGCTGGTGTTGCACTTGGTGACGTTGGTGCTGGTGTTGACGCTGGTGCTCATGTTGCAGCTGGTGTTGACATTGGTGCAGGCGTTACAGCTAGTGACGCCGGTGCTGGCGTTACAGCTGGTGGTGCTGGCGTTGACATTGGTGCTGGCGTTACAGCTGGTGACGCAGGTGCTGGTGTTACTGCTGGTGGTGCTGGCGTTGACATTGGTGCTGGCGTTGACATTGGTGCTGGCGTTACTGCTGGTGACGCCGGTGCTGGCGTTACAGCTGGTGACGCTGGTGCTGGCGTTGACATTAGTGCTAGTGTTACAGCTGGTGACGCAGGTGCTGGCGTTGACATTGGTGCTGGTGTTACAGCTGGTGACGCAGGTGCTGGCGTTGACATTAGTGCTAGTGTTACAGCTGGTGACGCAGGTGCTGGCGTTGACATTGGTGCTGGTGTTACAGCTGGTGACGCAGGTGCTGGCGTTGACATTGGTGCTAGTGTTACAGCTGGTGACGCAGGTGCTGGCGTTGACATTGGTGCTAGCGTTACTGCTGGTGACGCAGGTGCTGGTGTTGACACTGGTGCTAGTGTTACAGCTGGTGACACCGGTGCTAGCGTTACAGCTGGTGCTGGCGTTACAGCTGGTGACGCTGGATTCCGATCATGACGTTGACCGCGTGCGGGCGGCGGCTGTGGCAGGTGCTGAAGACCCTGCTGGCGGCGTTCCTGCTGGCGGGCGTCGTGCCCCTGCTGGTCGGGCTGCTCTTCGAGCTGGTGGTCGTGGTGCCCCTCCGCGTGCCGCTGCACCAGACGCCACTCTTCTTTCCCCTGCAGGCACGTGCCCCTTGGCCCTCGTGAGACGGTCGCACGCGCTAGCGCGTTGTAACGTTCCAGTTCGACTCGCGTCCACACCGCAATCGCTCGCTGCTCTAGAAGAGCGGGAAGGACGACTTCTGTTCTGTTTACGTGACAACCCTTACTAATTGGCCGTGTCGGGTGGTGGCGGCAGGTTTGACGACACGTTCATATTTACGCGATCTAACACAAACGCCTCTTATGGACGATGCTTTGTGTTTTGCGCAGGACTGGGCGCTCGGAGTGCTGCACACGAAGATCGTCGCCGCCATCACACTCATGGGCCCCCAGTGGCGGCTCAAGGCTGCGATAGAGCAGGTAATGGCACCTTCGTTCAGCGTCCGTTTCGCGCTTTTCACCAAGTACAGCGCGGTTGCCTTGTCTGCCCAAAGTGTGTGGAGTCATCTTGTCTGGAATGATTGACAATTATGAATGATTTCACTTTGTAACACGATTTTTGTTCCTGGGTAGTTAGTGTTATTTTCTAATTGCTTATGCCTCAAAAGTACAGAAAATGGATATTATTCCTCACAAACTTTGCTTTTGTGACCAGGACTTTATGTGAAGGAATGACACAAATGCACACCACGTTTTTTCATTGAAAATAGATCAATTTCAAAATATCACTGTCCTGGTCACAAAAGCTAAGTTTGTGGGGAATAATAGCCACTTTTTGTACTTTTGAGGCATAAGAAATTAGGAAACAACACTTACTACCCAGGAACAAAAAAAAAATGTTTTGTTACACAGTGAATTTGCAATCATTCCAGGGGCGCCACGGCGGCGAGATGTGAACTACCTTACCTCGTATACAGGAGGTCGTGGGTTCGATCCATAGCCTGGCACCTACATATTTGGAGTTTTTCATGTTCTCTGTCTGTGGTTGCGTGGGCTTTTCTCCGGTTCCTCTGGTTTTTTCCTCTAAATTTATCATCAACATGCGTTGAGAATAGTTGGCCGCTATAAATCTCCACATAAGCCTTGTTGGGTGAACTAGCCATTGCACTGTGGCAGTATGCTGCTGTGTGTCACGAGTGAGTGGTTGGGCGAGTGAGCGAGTGGGTGACTCTTCAAGTGAGTGACTAGTTGCGCGAGTGATCTCGCTCACCGCACCGCAGCAGTATGCTGCTGTGTGTAATGAGTGGGTGGGTGACTATTTGGGTGAGTGACCTCGCCCACCGCACCGCGGCAGTAGTCTGCTGCTGCGTTGTCGTGCGCGCCAGTCCCTGTTGTTGCCCGGCGGCTTCCTGTTGACTGCGCCCGCCACCTCGAGGGGCAGGCGCTGACCGCCCCGTGTGCACACCTGCCGCCCCCCTGCGTGCGTGCGTGCGTGCGTGGGCCCCGCGCAGGTGTACGCCAACGGCCTGCGCAACCTGGACATGCGCGTGCTGCTGCTGGAGCTGACGGGCCCCGTGACGGCCGCCCTGCTGCTCGCGCTCTGCGTGCCCTACGCCGTCTCATTTGGGCTCGTGCCACTGCTCGGTGAGGGCTTGGCGGCCGGGCTCTCTCGCGTCGTCACACGGGGAGGGGAACGTCTCGATTCGCCGCCGCCACTGCAATGCAATGAATTGGTCACGATTCGGAGTCACGAGTCAATTCGAGGATGGATGCTTTATTTGTCTTGTTTGTATCGTCTTTCTCATGGTTACAGGCTCCTGTGTGGCTTTCTGTCCTGTCTGGCTTGTCTTTACTGTCTTTAAAATGGTAACGCCTCTTTGCACTGCCTATCTCCTCTTCTGTTCCCACTCGTTCCATCTTGTTCCGATCTCTCGCGTTCTGCCCCGTTCCAAGCGTCTATCAAAGGAAACGGTTGCATAGAACGTGCATGAAACGAAAATGCTCAGTTTCTATAGCACAGAATAGGATGTATTTTATGCGTAAGGATAATTTTTGAAACAATTCATCACGTGCCTAGTGGCTACATCTGGAGCCTGTGGGGCTCATTTGCGAGTGATTCTGCAAGCCGATTACGTCTGCCGACTCTCCGTGTAAGTCTTGCTCTTCCTTGCCATCGTTTAACCCCACGGCATCTTTGATGTTTGCGCCCCACCTCCCCTGCCCCGCCTCGGCTGCCCCACCTCCCCTGCCGCGCGCCCCCTGCAGGCCTGTCAGCCGAGACGCAGACGCTGGCGGAGCGGCGCGTCTACCCGTGCCTGCTCGGAGGCTGCCTCTTGCTCGGCGTGCTGGGAGCTCAGCTGCGGCAGTTCCGCCGTCTCTACGAGCACATCAAGAATGACAAGTGAGTGGTCACGATCGCCGTCGCGACCAATGGGCACTGAACAGACCTCGGCGCTGCATACATTGTGGACACAACGCCTCGGCAGTAATTTGGGCGTTGTGATGAATGTTAGGTCAATGGGTGGTACAGACTTCAGTGAGCTGCATCTCGAGATAGCCAGTCCGTGTTGAGGATTGCGATCGCTCTTAGAGTAATGGACTGCAGAGGTGATGTGCTTCACTCCCCAACACTAACCATTCTCCCAATAAAGAATGAGCATCGATTTTAAGCTTTCGTAACTGCAGGGATTCATATTCTTGGTTCTTTCGGTAAAGTCACGTAGAAGGGAAATAATAAAATAATAAAAATATAAAATAGTAAAATTCTCACGAAGTTTCAATTGCAACACAAGCAAACATCATCAGGTGTGGAAACCACAGCAAGAAAAAAAACGCCACTTTTTTCTAATTTTCTTGCTGTGGTTTTCACACCTGATGATGATTGCTTGTGTTGCAATCGAAACGTCGTGAGAATTGTATTGTTTTATTTTTATTATTTTATTATTTCCCTTCTACGTGACTTTACCGAAAGAACAAATAATAAAGAATGAGTAATTTAAAGTGTTGGGTTACTTTTAAAAGTAATTGGTCACTGATTACCGATTACTGCACCTCGTACATAGCCAATGGATTAGCACGGTTGGCTATGTATGGTGCGAAAGAAGTTCAACGTACTTTTCACACATACTGGTGGCTTTATTGAAATGTAACATTACCTGTTTTGGTATATTTAAAGTAACAAAGTCTGATTTCTCGATTGACGTGAAAACATTCGTAAAGTTTAACATGTATGAGCTTTTGATATATGCTGTTAAATTGCACCATAACGTTTAGGCTTTGCAACGCGATCCGTACAGGTTGGCTGCCACTCTCCTTCAGTCAGTGTCTCGTCACTCACTTTTATTTCTTTTCTCCAAACAGGTATCTCGTCGGTCAGCGGCTCGTCAATTACGAACGGAAGAGTGGCAGGAGCAGCGCTTTGCCCTCGGACCTGTGACGAGAGCCGTTTTGACTCCCGCCACGCCAAGATGCCCCACTACCCGCCGAAATATTTTCGCGTGCTTTGAATTTTCCGAAACTTGGGATGTGACCGAAGTAAATGTGTGCGCTCGTGTGCGCTCTTGCGCGTCAGCCACTCGGATTCGCGAGCGGACTCTCTCCGCCGCTCCTCGGAACTGGAAAAATCGGCACGGAATTTGTGCAATGTCGTCCTTTACTGCTCGCTACTCTTCTGCGCTCTTTGCCGAACCCCGCATTTGCTGAATTGGGCAGAGGAAGCCGTCGAAGATCTTGAGAGGTTCGCTGCGTTCAGCGGTTCCGCACACGGAGACACAAAGACGCAAGCACGACACAGAGACATAAAAGCAACACACAAACCGGAACTGCAGTTAGGCAGCCTGACCCAGGACAGGGGTGGACTGATTCTCTGCGTGGGATGGCCCCGATGAACCGGCCCCAGAGTAAGGCCGAGGAGCTGTCCGAATTCGCCAAGAAAGCCACGTCCCCTTCTAAATGAAATATTAATGTATGCCGAAGGTTGTGAGCTTGCACAGTTTTATTTAAGGTGCTGCCCTTTTGCGGGGGGTGGGGGGGGGGTAGAACAGTATTGCATGAGGACAGGGGCACCCATTCAGTATTTTTAATGTGGCAGTGACATAAGTGTTTGATCCATGAAACCAGATCCGTTATGTAACGCAACTCACCGGGCCAACGGCAACCTGTGCACGGGGAAACCGTGCGTTCAAAAACTTCCAATTGGTCGAAACGGCTAGAGTTGACGATATACATATAGTGGAAGATATATATATGTGTAGACTGCGTCTCGGCTTGTACGGGCAATGAAATATTTTAAACTTTTCGGCACAGACACCCACCGCCTGCAGTGAGTGCTGCTCGTGCCAAATGCTGACTGCGCCGCCACTCCACCGCGTGGTGGCAAGGATTGACAGTGGACGTTCCCACAAATTTTTAAATGTCACAATCACCCCACGGGAGGGTGGGCGCGGCGCCCCCTCTGAAAAAAAAAGGTCGTCCGGCATCCAGCGTCTGTTGTGTTTGTCTTCGTCGCGCGTCACGTTCTCCCTCGAGGCGTCTTTGTTTTCGTGCCAGGCAGCAACGTGCGCTTGTGTGTGGGATGGTCTCCGTCGCCTCCGGCGCGGTGGGGATAAAGTTGAGAGATGTGCGATGCTGGGAGCAGTCGAGTTGCGCCTGTGCTTTGTTGCTACAGAGCAGAACTACTGACGGGGGGGAACCTTCCGCCGTGCTTGCATCTCTGCCCCCGAGTTTTTTGGTTTGATGTTGGCGAGGGATCCACACCAACATCAAACCCTTGCCGGGGTTGCACCATTCGGGCTCGAGGTGCGAGATAGATCCCTGCTGAACAAAGCAGTTGCAGAGACGGTGGACGGGCACCGGTGTGTTGATCGGGATATTGAGGCAGTACCGCTCAGAGGCTGTGTTCGTGTCCCTCGGGTCGTCACGGTTGGTGGTGTTTGCAGGTGCTACTAACACGTGACGGTCTCACCGCGTGGCTCCACAAAGCAAATTTCTGAATTCGGTCATTTGCACTTTATATCATGTTTTAGGCACTGCAAAGTGAATACAGTAACAACTAAATGTTACACGAGCAATAATCCCACTAGTCCACCTTGCCCAGAGTTCCACACATGGCTCTAAGGGGTCTCTGGCTCTTTGACCCGACACAAGGTGGGTTGAAGGGCCACACATTACGTGCGCATCAGCCACACATTTCCATGACGATGTCACCCAGTCTGGGCCAGCCAGTGTCGACCCCGGTACCAGCCAGCTGGTCCTGTGGCACGTGAATATCCTCGGGCAGGCTTATACATGGAGAAAATACGTGTCCTGACGTATACACGGGGAAACTGTGTGTATATGTAGCCTTGGCAATATCTAAGGCAGCTCTGTAAATCCCGGTCACATGGACAGAGGTAATCGCCTAGTTGATAGCTTAGTGAAGGACCAACCCATGCCTCCACTCGGCTATCCAGACCCCACAGGCCTTCCTTGCTTGCCTAAGCACACCGTAATCGGGGTGGAATTGGATCACTGACAAAGGTTTTCAGTGGAGATTCCAGTTGGCCGTAATTCGCCGTAATCGCCATTCTGGTGGGCTGCATTTGGCAATAATTAGTCGAGATCGGCATAGCCGATTGCTGGGAGAAGTTAGATGTGTAATGAAATTTCAATAGAACCCCGTTGTTTCGCACACATGTTCCGTGGCAGAATCCCCGTGAGAATCCCGTCCGAACAAATTAAGGCTTTTTCAACACGGGAATCTGTGGAAGTATCACAATTCCTACTTGGAAACCACGCAGAGTGGAAATTGTAGGAGTCGCCTAAGACCGTTCCTGTGGGAATTTCCTCGCCGTAATATGTGTACGCTAACGAAATTTTTAACCAAACTGGAGCGGGAACCTTTGCACAGTCAACGTGAACGGTGGCGACAATTGACGAGACTGGGTAACCCCATTTCACCACGCGCGGGTTTCAGCTCGTGCTCGGTCAACGCACGGATGAGCAGCGTTGCCTCCGGTCAAGGCCAGATTCAAATCCATCGCAGCGGGGAACACTCGGATGGAGGCTGACACGAAACAGATTCGGCAGCACTCGAGGGCGAACACGGCAATGGGGTGTGCTCAGTCTGTTCGACCTCCGCTGATGTTGCTCATCACATTCGAACGCGCAGCGTTGACGAACTGCGTGCTATTTTACTTGCGTTTTCATCGGAACCTGGCAGCTTGTGCTGTGTTTGGCCTTTCAAACGTATATATGAAATGTTCGTTCTGGAACAGCTGAAAACTATATGTATGCTAGTTGATTTTTTTTTCTTTCTGTTCGTGGTTAATGTCGTCACTCGCACGGATCACGACACGGTTGCACATGGGGGTGCCACGTGTTTCTCATTCAGTTCCCTGGGAATAGACGTCTTCGTAAATTTCCATCCAGTAAACATCCATGGTTTAATCATTGATTGCCATAGGGATGTTCACTACTACTGGTCCTTGGTGTGCCAAGATTGAGATCAAATTGGCCAGAAGTTTCTCAATCTCCCAGTCCTCGTGACTTTTTACATTTACCAATGTTCCATTCAAGTACCAATTAAGTCTTTACATGTTGCACATACCTGATATATATACACACCAGCTGAAACAATTATATTCCACTTGCATTAATCATGAAAGTACATAACTTGATTGTAATGTTCTAAATTAAAAAAAATAAAGCATGAAGTTACAGAAGTTGCCGTGCCAAGGCTGATCGCAATGCGGATGCCACCCTCTGTAATCCAGCAAAATAGTATTTTTTTCAGTCATTATTTCCATTTTATTTAGCATCGCAATCTGTGCGATCTTATTTCAATGCAGTTTCATCTTTGTTACAGCGGTTCATTGCGATAAACAGAATGGGCAGCTCGTCAGCCAACCAGAGTCGGGCATCGGTCCCTCAAGGCCACGCTCATACATCCGTTCGCTTGTGAATATTGCAACGTGCTTATTTTCTTTACCTACGTGACTTTACCGAAAGAACCAAGAATATGGATCCTTGCAGTCACGAAAACTTCAAGTCTAGAACGTGCTTCTTGGTTGAGGTGGCAGACTGGGGGGGTGGGGTGTCACCCACAAATCCAGAGAGATGTCTGTCCCACCATCTCCGATCCCACGAATTGACCGAGCCTGCTAACTGGTTGCGAGGACACGATCACGTTAATAGTTTATAGCGTACGCAGGCTTAAGAGACGCGCAAGAGCAATTTTTACCTTTGTTTATCAGCGTGAGAACGTTCACAAAAGCTGCGATCGACGCATCAAGAAGTCACGCGGTGGAGCACGCTCGGTGTGCTTCGGTGTCGCCTGTTGCTTTCGAGGAGGAATCCTCCACTTACGTTGATGCATCATTCAGTGTTTCGTCACGGTCGAGTAAAACACAAGACGTGTCTCTCGAAGGAAGGAACGCCACGGATAATCGCGCGTGTTTCCACGACGCGCGGTCGTTGTATAAACCTCGCGTGGCTGTTCGACTATGGGAAGCATTTTGATTGCACAGACCCCTGGGGTACTTGAGATCGATATTATTATTCAAGTGCCCTGCCTGGCGGTCGCAGTGTGTGTGGGGAGAGCGGTCGTGTACCGGTTAGCGAGCTGCTATACGAACCCGGCGACCCGAGTTCGATTTCCGCTCACGGCCAACACCAGTGACGATTATTTGAACCGGTCCTGGGCCTCACCTAGGTCGACTCTGCCTCAAATGAGTATCTGGTGCGATGTGGTAAATATCGCCACTGGGGAGACAAAGGCGGCCGGGCGTGGTGCTGGGCACTCACCCCCTTGTGTGCCGTTCAGGCCTTCATAGGTGCTCGCTAACAGCACTTGCTCCAACAGACTTCCAAGGCTATACGCGGAATCTTTGTCTTGTGTGGTTTTGCCAAGGGTCTCGGCCAAGAAACCCCGATGTGATGTTTAAGCCCCACGATTCCGGCTGAATTTCAGCTGGGACCTGCCCTTGTCGGCGACCCGTAATCTATCCCCGCACCCGGCACAACCACCACCACCACCAACATCGAGTACGCATCTCGCTGCGGTTGTGGCCACTGCAAAGTCGTCATACGCCTCACTCCTGTCCAACAGCGGCCCTGGGGAAAACATTGAGTTGAGAAATTAAAACCCTGCCCACGATGCTTCGTTGTCGAACTCGTCGCGCGCACCTCTGCATGTATCATTAATATCCAACACGTTAATCTTAGCTTGCTTTTTTTTGTCAGCTGATGTGAGATTTGTCATCGGCTGGAGAGAGAGAGAGGATGTTGGCTTGTTTCAAAGCCTTTTGGGGATCCCATAATGTATGGTGTTTCCCCTGTTGTCTGTTTGAAGGGCTATTTTGAAGCGGTGTTCCCTGTCGATGGTTAAATTGGTGTCTTAAGTAATACCGTGTGCAGTCATTTGGTGTTTAGTCGCTCGAGATCATTTTGCTCACCACAATAACCGATATATTACTTGCTCCAGGATCTTTCGCGGCAGCTTGGGGATTCACACGATGTGTGTGAATTGACCTGGTTTGTCTGCAACTTGCTTTACGCTAACACATCCACAATACACGAAGAGGCCTACACGTATGGAAAAAAAAATCGGTGTTTTTACCCTTTCTGGCAATAAAACAGGAGGTGTTAAGATGTCCAAACGCCAAATAGAAAACCTTTTTCAAGGAATGAAGTACTGCATTAACCACACACAGTACTTGCTGTGATGATCGTGCAAACCACGTGCTCTGATAATGATAGCATGTTTGTCTGCATGTTCTACACGGCCACCAATTCAAATTGACCCCTGAACCCAGGGCCCGGCTTACCGTGTGGAGCCTAAGGGCTTGCCTAAATGCAAGCCTTAGCAGGACAGGAGGCTTATACAAGGGGCAGAACAAAACATCAATTTGGCAGAGGCACGACTTGTTTTTACCCTGACATACGCAAACAAAACGTTACGGCATCCACCATTTGAGCAACTGCTGGGGCAAGTGCTGTTAGCGAGCACCTATTACCTGTTGTATATGTTGAACCTCTTTTGCACCGTACGTAGCCAACCGTCGGTGATTACATAAAAGTGCATTCTAAATAACCACCGAGCTAACGTTCTATACACAAATGTGCGTGGCCTCAAGGTGCACATAGCCTGGCACAAGCGTCGTGGTGACGTCCCCGCCACTTTGTGGCGAATGGCGGTTGTTGTATATGAACACAAGTGTGGATGTAAGCAAACATTGGCCCGCTCTCCTGCGTTTTTTCAGGGCTTGCTTTTTTAGGCAGGCCCCATAGGCCCCACCGGGTTAGCCAAGGCTCTCACTCTGGGCTTGATTGAAAAGGGGCAGCAAAACGGGAATTTGTTTAGCAGCATTTTCCCCGGTTTGCCATGAGAGTTAACGCTCTAAAACCACGTTCACTCTGCCATTTTACATGCTAGTGAACGCTTTAAACCCACGATCATGCTTCAATTTTACATTGCGAGTGAACACTGTAAAATGATGCTCACTTTAATTTTACATGCGAGTGAATATGTTCGCTCTGCCGTTTTCGCACAAAAAAAACACTATTGAGAACATTTGAAGCGTTCGAAACGTTGCTACGAAAACGATGCACCCCATGAAGTGTTGTCAAGTTTCCCGACACGACCATTGGCAACGTTTTATTTTGCCATGTGTAAGTAGAAAAAAAATTAACCCGTAAAAACTAAGTTTTTCACTATAAATCCTTTATATGCGTGGCGGCTAGAGTCCTCTCGTCCTCTGGCTTGAGATGGCTGCCACCTATGGGTCAGATGATTGCCTTCCACCATTAAGCAATTGGTATTTAAATATAAAAAAAAAATCCTAAAAAGTGTAACATTTTGGAAAAAAAATTTCACGAAAATAAATTGTCACGCACAACGAGTCTGTGTGCAAAATGTCAGCTCGATTGGACCACGGGAAGTGGGTTAAAAAACGACCGAAAGATTTGCACGGTCCTAAGCGCACAAGCAAGCAAGCAAGTGAACTTAATATAAAGGATTAAAAAAAACTATGATCGGCGGTGGGTATGAATTTGACTGCGGTGCCTCTCCACTTATCCGCTTGTGTTCGAGACTGGTGTTTCAACGTGACCCCCTTGAGCCTCCTTCACTTCCACAAATTTGTTCTTCACAAATGACCGTCGACTCGGAATGCGTACCCCCTCCCCAGTGTGAACATCTCTGCATGCGCCTCCTAAATTAGGAGGAACTTAATTAAAAATTATAAACACGGTTACTGACCGCCTTCGTCGTTAATGTTACGAGGATGAACTCCGCATGGTTTACACCCCCTGGGTTTTTGTTTTGTCGTTGTAATTCTCCACCCTACGTGTGCGTGCGCGCGTGTGAAACTCTACTAATTTTCAAATCCCTTGGATGGGACACCCCAATCGATTGGTAGTCTGGCAAATGGAATTTGGGCAATCTTCGTCTATCGTGTAAGTAGCCAACCGTGCTAATCGGAGGTGTGGAAACGAAACACAAAAACAGTTCTAAAGCAATAATTATTCAGTCTAGATGTAAAAGTCTATAGCTCCAGTGACTTCCTAGTAGCTCCAGTAGCTTCCTGGTAACACTTACAAGGGTAGATCGGGTTTCATTGTCTTCATCAGGGCAGTGATGTTCACCTGCCCTGCTCTATCAATGGGTGTTTGAATCATCTCATCAAATTTACCGACACCTGCAACAACTCAAGGGAGCAACATCAATGATGGCGTACACTCACTTATAAAGGACATTTTTCAGCCCTTCCGCATAACCCTGTTAGGCATATCCGTCAGTATATTGCATGGAATATATTGTTTTCTTTTTGCAGCGTTTTGTTTTGCACGTAATGTAATTGGCTATGTCCCCAGATGTTATGGCTAAACGCGCATTTTTAAAGACCGCTCTGTAGGTGTTTCTGTAGACTCATACTTAGCACAACCTTTGGGGAACGGTGGTGTAGTGGTTAGCGCTACGCTGCGCTACGAACCCGGCGACCCAAGTTCGATTCCCGCTCACGGCCAACACCAGTGACGATTATTTGCACCGGTCTCGGGCCTCTCCTAGGGCGACTCAGCCTCAAATGAGTACCTGGTGCGGTGTGTAAACATCGCCACTATGGAGACAAAGGCGGCCGGGCGTGGTGTTGGCCACCCCACCCTCTCGTGTGCCGTGCCGGCCTTCATAGGTGCTCGCTAACAGCACTTGCCCCAACAGCCTGTTAAGGCTATAGGGGAGGTTGGTGTTTCCAGTCTGTTCATGGCCAATTCCATGTAAAGTCTCTTAGGCAGAGAGCACTTGAGTCTGACAGCCCTTTGAAGGATTAACCAAAACCTTTTGGTTTACTCAATTTAGTTGGGCTCAATGGACTTAGAAGTACAGTCCGTTCCTGAAGAACACCGCTTTATAATAAATAACATAGAATATGGGGTAAAGCACAGTCTGCGATAACACGCGAGATGCGTACGCAGGCTGGGCAAAGGCTTGATGCGCGTGGGTTGCATCTAGAAGCATCCAGCAGCATCCCAAATTTGTTCAGTTTCCGACATACGGAAAATTCGGGTTTACGTATCGTGCGCGGGAACGCAACCCCCTTACGTAACTCGGGGACTGCCTGTAAGTAACGAATTGGCCGCGTGCGTTTTGTCCACGTGACAAAGTTGGGCTGCGTCGCGTGGGCGACGGGGTGTCCACACATTAATATATTTATATACATTTTTAAATCCTTTATATTAAGTTCGCTTGCTTGCAAATCTTTCGGTCGTTTTTTAACCCACTTTCCGTGATCCAATCGAGCTGACATTTCCCACACAGACTCGTTGTGCGTGACAATGTTCGTGAAAAGTTTTTTCCAAAATTTTACACTTTTTAGGACAAAAATATTATATTTAATTACCAATTGCTTAATGGTGCCATGCAATCATCTGACCCATAGGTGGCAGCCATCTCAAGCCAGAGAACGAGAGGACTCAAGCCGCCACGCATATAAAGGATTTAGAGTGAAAAACTTTGTTTTTACGGGTTATACTTATTATTTGTGTTACGTGAAACTTTTGCAAGCTGCTCGTATTTTATTATAATAGATTAATAACCGAGCACAGTCTGCGAGCGTGTTAAGCAGTCGGTGGGGGGGGAGGGGGGCTCGTTTCCACTTCCGCATCGGCCCAGCGGGAGTCGCGGCCGCTGTCGGCTCCGTCAGCCCCCCTCCACCGCCGTCTTTATCTCCCCTTTGATTCTTCTTTTAAAAGCGTCGCGTCAGAAGCCCGCCAGGAGCTGTAAACGTTCGCGTTCGCTCGTTTAAAAGCGGCTAAATTTGTTAATAGAGAGAGAGAGAGACGGGGGGGAGGGGGTAACCGACGCTCGTTTGCCGGCCGGCACAAGGCCTCGCACGGCTCCCTCCCCTGAGGCGGTGTCGCCTGGATTCGCGGCCGATATTCGGGCGCCAAAGCCCCGCCGGTGGATCCAGGCGAGGTCGGGGTCGCGGTGCGGCCCCGTAGCCCGTGAGCAGTGCTGACGTGCACATCGTTAAAACAACAGCTCCTCTCGTGAGACGTATTTATTTACGTTTAAAAATAAAGCACGCAGGACTCGCACTTGTTTTGAAAAGAGAAGCTGTACGAAAGCTTTTTCCAGTCAAGAGTGGAATTTCGCTGTGAACTAAAGCATCGAGGATGGCTGTAAGTTTTAATTCATTTGCTACCACCAGCAGACACTTGCACATGTTAAGCCGCCGATATCTTTAATTAAACGTGGATATAAAACAATTAAACAGTGAATAAACGAAGCCTTCTAACGCCACCTTAGTAAAATTACAGGCACTGTGTACTGCGATGCAATTCAAAAGTAATTTGCAAAGTTGGCTCAATGCTTAATAATCCTACCCGTTGACGGTACAGTAATATTTAACGTACACGTGTCTCTCCTAATTAGCACGCCTATTGCCTGTTGTGACATTTAAAATCACCTGTTTCAGGAAATCATTGTTGGCGATTAGATCGCTTTAGTTTTGTACTTTACGCCACGTAGTGCGTGCTTGTGTGTGCGCTTAAACGTGTGGTCCAGGTGTCTTGTGACACTCCACCTCCCCCAAATTAATTGACCGCTAAAATGTGTTTTTTTCATCATATATTTTTGTTATCTAAACCTTTTAAGTTGTAAATAATTAAATGGGGGTAGGGGGTCACAAGACCTCTGGACCACCCTGTACAGCACACGCGGCCTTCGTATCCCACATTTGAAACCTGTCACGCCAGTGTGTTCATTGATGAATGAATTCTTAATTCATCAAGGTGATTCATCACCGCAACATTCATTCACAAACATGTGTCCACGCGAGTCACAAGGGAGGGCAAGATTTGCCCGATGCAAATACCCACAAAGTGCTTTACAATACAGGGCAGTGGAATTGTACAGCTGTGGTTAAAACACACCATCGCATGCCCAGAACCTGTGTAGAAAGAGTTTGTGAAGTTGTTTTTAGGAGGGCAAATACACGAATTGAGGCAGTAATTGAACAGAGGCACGGTAGTCGACAGCACAGATGGCTGCGGGATGTAATGGGAGTTCCTGGCCGTGGGGTCGGCAGAGGAGAGCGAGCTGAGGCAATAAGCCAGCGCGTTAAAGTTCTTTAAGCGGTCACTTCTTTAAAGTAATAGGGGTTTTCCCCTTTTTTTCTGTCAACAAAACTGACACCTTTTGCAAGGAATCATGCTTACATTAACCACAATACTTGTAGTCAAATGCAAAAAAAATCAATACTCTGATAATTTATGCATTGTCTTTGAAACTGATTGGTCCACACCAGAGACAGCTTTCTTTAGAGCCGAGTCTCATATGGTGTTCGACCAGATGACACCAAAAGGCACACAGTTCAAAGACAACGCACTACCAGAGTAATGAGAGCTCGGGGTTAGCAGCTACATTATGGGACCTCCTAATAGGGTTTTTCCCCTTTTTTATGGCCACAAAACTGACACCTTTTGCAAGGAATCATGCTTACACTAACCACAATACTTGCAGTCAAATGCAAACAAACAAAAAAGGTCACCACTTCTTTGTTAAGTTAATAATATTGTTTAGTTTTATGTCGGGTCGCCCATTGAAATAGCATCTCTCAATCGCTGAGGACCCACAGACAAGCTCGAAGGGAGCCAGGTGGTAAGCCAAAGCTCTACAGTCCACCGTGCATTGAGATGTTTTCAGCAAATGAATGAGTGTGCTTGATTGTGTGTTTGTTGCAGCCCAAAGGCAAGCCGGGGACCAAGGGACAAAAGCAGATCGTGGAGGAGAACAAGGAGACGCTGACGTTCTACACGCGTGTCATCATCGGAGCAATTGTGCGTCGAGACCTGCGAACCCGTTGGGTTTCCTTGGCAGCTTTTGAATGCGAGATGCATACAGGCGGTCCCCGACTTAACGAATGAGCGTCCATAAGATTTAAATTTTGACTAAAAGCTTTCGTGACTGCAGGGATTCATATTCTTGGTTCTTTCGGTAAAGTCACGTAGAAGGGAAACAATAAAATAATAAAAAATATAAAACAAAAAAATTATCACGACGTTTCGACTGCAACACCTGATGATGATTGCTGCTTGTGTTGCAGTCGAAACGTCGTGAGAATTTTATTGTTTTATATTTTTATTATTTTATTGTTTCCCTTCTACGTGACTTTACCGAAAGAACCAAGAATATGCATCCATAAGATGTTTATTTTTTAACCATCCGACTTGTGAACATCAACTCGCACTTGCGAACCAAATCGCGGAACTATTTGCTTCAGCTCAGTATTTCTTAATATATTTCTTCTTTTTTATGAGTTTAACAATTGCTTCCATTTTTTTGTTGAACCGTAACACGTTTTATAACACTGACCATATGAGCATTTAAATACGGGAGATTATTATTTCCTGACTTGCGAACCATTCGATCTACAAACGGGTCTCAGGAATGGAACCCGTTCGTAAGCCAGGGGCTGCCCGTATTCGCAATTATACCGATAGATGGAAAAGTAAAATGAATCGTACACACAATCAAATTGGAGACACGTAGAAGTGGGCATTTCTATAATGGATGTGGATTGATAGACGAGACTGGCGATGGAATGGTAGCCAAAGGAGAAACCAGGGAGATGGAGCGATGAAATCTGCTCATGTACAGAAGTAGGATTGCAGCATCACAGTACCGTGACGGATGGTGGCGGGAAGCCTTCATCCAGAAGTGGATAGATCATGGCTGATGTTATATGTGTGATTTATTTGAGGTGTCGTTCTAAATTGTTCAACTTGAATGTAGATCACAAATTGTCAAACAATTCAGGATTTCAATTACCTGTGGCATGAGCGAAATTCGGTGATCTGTAGTTTCATATCCTCGCTACAAACACCTCCGAATAGCTATGTACGGTGTGAAAGAAGTTCAATATACAAACAAACATGTGCATTGACCCAATCTCCTGTCCCATTTCTCTTGCAGGCTATATATGTCTTTGTCCACCTCGTGCTCTTCTATAGTTCTTCAACTTTCTGGTCCTGGGTAAGTAAACGTACATCTATTGCCTGTGTTTACGAATTACACTCGGTTATAATTCCGGTGTGTGTGTGTGCACATGTGGAGCGAGCGTGCAGTGGTTAGTGCACTGAATTTAGAATCCTGTGACAAGGCTCTCCTTGCCGCCTGGACAGAGATCATGTTGGACCTCCCCTAAGTCGACGAGGCCTAAAATCAGTTCCCGGTTTGATAAAATGGACCCTGGGTTGTAAACGGCAGTCATGCATCCATAATGCTGGTTCCACCACCCTATTGTGTCCTGTGCTAGCCTTATTAGGTGCTCACCAACAGATATTTTCTGGCAGTCTGGGGTGCCACGGTGGCGAGATGTTAACTCCCTCGCCTCGTACGCAGGAGGTCGTGGGTTCGATCCCAATCCTGACGCCTGTAGATTTTGAGTTTGCATGTTCACCCCATGGCCGCGTGGATTTTTCTCCGGGTCCTCTGGTTTTTCCCTCCACATTTAGAATCAACATGCGCTTCGAGTATTTGGCTGCTATAAATGTCCACGTGATGATAAGCCACTTTGTTAAGCTGTCATTTGTGATATCCAGGTCGCTTCTGAAAAAGAGCTATATAGCTCAGTGGGCCTTACCTGGTAAAATAAAAAAATTGTTTAGTTTAGTCTGTTCATTGATATTTGTATTTTGTGTGTGTGTGTGTGTATGCAGGCAATGCTTGTGCTGGCACTGTTGGCGCAGGGCGGCTGCAGGTACGTGATGGTCCACATGGCGGTCGCCTCGTACTCGGGGGATGGAGTTCTACTCGACGGAGGCATCGATCTCAACATGGAGCAGGGCCTGGCCGAGTGAGCTGCCCCCCCCCACCCCGTCCGCTCCATTACCCAGTCGGCTTTCACAGTCCATTACCCAGTCGGCTTTTGCTCAATGGCTGGTTGCGTCTTCTCCTCTACTACCCCCAAAGTCTGGAACTCCTTCTCGCTAGTAGTCCTTACTGCTGCCTTGATTCACCAGTTGCAGTCCAGGCTGAAGATTTCCTTTGTTTATTACTCCGCTTGCGTATGATTGACGAGTGACTCCTTCCCCCACCGTGTATCGTCTTCCATGCCGGGGTTTTACAAACTCCAGGCTCGCGACCCACATTCATCGCAGGGAACAAATGAAAATTGGATACATCTGGTAGATTATTCGATTTTAAATCGAGTAATTTAGCTTGGGTCACGACACATGGCTAGAAGAGATGATGACCAGTGGCCGAGACTGGTGATGGAATGAAAGGCAAAGGAAGGAACATTCTCAAGAGGACATCCAATGTGGAGATAGAGCGACGAGGTCTGTTTGGGTGCAGGAGTGTGGGGGATTTTGTAGCATTGTGAGACCGAGGGTTGGTGGAGTTCTGGGTGAGGCTATCATCCAGCAGATAATTACTGATAAATGCAAATTTCCTTTTAGGCTAATAACTAACTATAACTACTTTTATTTTACCAGGCAAGGCCCACTGAGCTATGTAGCTCTTTTTTTTCAGAAGCGATTGGCCACAAATGAAAGCTGAGCGTAGAGGGAAAAACCGGAGGACCAGGAGAAAATCCACACGACCATCTTCAGAGAGACCCAAGTCCAATCAAATGCGACAACGCAAATGAAACAGAACAGACAGGTCACACAAGACAGTTGCAAATTACACAGCGCAGACTACAGACTGCACACAATTATACAGACAGTATAAATGAGAGAAGTGTAACACAGTCATTACAAACAAGACACAAAATACATTACACTACATCATCTCGGTTCATCTTTCCGAGAGATTTGAATCGTGTGCCTAAACCCCAGCAAGCGTTAGGCGGTGTTTACCACGCGATGAACATTTTGCAGTGGTTTTACTTTGGAGAAATTGGCCTCTGCCATGGGCACATGGAAATTCCATCACTGGCTCAGTGCCGCCAACGGAGATGAATATCGCGTCTGTGCTTGAGCCGGGAGACACTTTGATTTTACTCTAAAACCACCAAGACGTGCTGTTTTTTTTGCCAGAAAGTCCAACTGCTGTGGTGCATCCGCGGTTATCAGAATTTGTGTAAGATTAAAATGTCTGGCGTCCATTGCTCGACCGAGCAGTGAAGCGTTTGTGGCGATGAGATGTTAACTACCTCGCCTGGTGTACAGGAGGTCGTGGGTTTGATCCCGACCCTGACGCCTGCTGCTGTATATTTGGAGTTTGCGTGTCTCTCCCCGTGGTTGCGTGGATTTTTTTCTCCGGGTCTTATGGTTATTCCATCCACATTTAAAAACGTGCATTTAGAGAATTTGACTGCTGTACATTTGCACGTGATAAGCCACTTCGTTGAGCTGTCATTTGTTGCCAGGTAGCTTCTGAAAAAGAGCTACGTAGCTCAGTGGGCCTTACCTGGTAAAATAAAAAAAGTGTTTAATAATAAGCGGCGCCAACGTCAGAAGGAGCAGAGCCACTGAGCGAGTGGTTTTTTAGGCGTGGAAATATTCATGTGGATGGGTCTGAGAGTTGGCGAAGCTGCCAGCTCACTATGTGCCCCAGTCGAGCCTCACAGTCATTTGTATGTTATATGAATGATGTATGTTGTATGTATGTTATATGAATGATGTATGTATGTTGTATGTTATATGTATGTTGTGCGGGAGGAGAACTAAACACAAATCATTTTTGTAAACAAATTAGTTTTTCAATCTAGATGATGGTTTAAAAGTGCATGGCTCCAGTGGCTTCCTCATATCAGAAGGGAGAGCGTTCCAGACGGCCGCAGAAGCGCGTCTGAAAGCCCCGCGCGATGCAGTGACCGCCGGGTTTGTTCGATGAGCGGAGTTCACGCAATGGTTTATGCTCCTTGACGAGATCAGCGAGGTCATTGTGGTTCACTTGTGTGGCAGCATTGCTGTAATTGACATTGAGTGCTAATTTCTGTTTCTCTTCTGATGTAGGCACTTGAAGGACGTTATTCTGCTCACAGCGATCGTCCAAGTGCTCAGTTGCATATCAACCTACTTCTGGATGCTTTGGCTATTGGTGAGGCACGTTTGCACGAACACCCGATGCCATTTTCAACTTGGAACCGCTCTCATACGACCTGTATATCTCAAGTCGGATAATAACGTCTGGATATTTCGTCACACTGCGTAGCGATCACTCCTGGCACACTAAGACAATACGGCTTAACGTAGCATAATACATTTCGATTTAAAGCTTTCGTGACTGCAGGGATTCATATTCTTGGTTCTTTCTGTAAAGTCACGTAGAAGGGAAACAATAAAATTATAAAATTAAAATTCTCACGACGTTTCGATTGCAACACAAGCAATCATCATCAGGTGTGAAAACCACAGCAAGAAAATTTTAAAAAAGTGGCGTTTTTTTTCTTAACGTCAGCACCACCGACGTCGTGATAATTTAATTGTTTTATTTTTATTATTTTATTATTTCCCTTCTACGTGACTTTACCGAAAGAAACAAGAATATGTAGAATAATACAGTTTGTCAAATTTAAGTTTTACCTTGATGCGTTGCTCCTCGTAAATATTGAATTCATAATAACGTTACGTTTTGAGCTGCACGACGGGATGACGTCGCGCGGCACACGATGCGTGGCGTCGTGGGATCTTGCCACTCTTGTCTCTGTCGCCGTCTCGTCCTCTACGCTTTCAATCTTCGCCGTGTCTCTTTCTGTTCATCCTCCTCCTCGTGCTCAATCCACGCTGCCGCTCGCTCTCTTCTCGTCCCCTCCACATTAAGCAGTCACCTTCGCTCACTAAGTTTCCGCTCCACACACCTCATTGTTACCCCTAGCTCCCCCCACGACCGTCTTAATCTCCCCCTCATCACCGCCACCGTTCCCTCTTCATGTTCTCACTAGCATAAGTACCCGGCGTTGCCCGGGTGAAAAATATATTTCTTAATAACCTTACATATATACACAGATTTCATTGTTATGTAATGTTAGAACGTTTTCAGAAGATTTTAAATGTATTTTCCCCCCGGGCAACGCTGGGTATATCGAGTTTATACCACAAAGTCGTCGCTTGACACGGGTGGGGTGTCGAGGCCTAGTACCGTGCAGAGCCTCCGGGCTCGCCTAAATTGCCCACCCGGCTGAGGCTGGGTACCGGGGCCGTTACCCCCCCCCCCCCCCCGCGCTACAATAATACTGTCTAATCGCTATAATTTTATTATCTACCGACCCTATAATAGTAATTGCACACATTGGGGTGGCGGGGGAGTGAAGAGGACGTGAAACTTTGATGAATTTACCTCAGAGTCGCGTGTTAATGCGTGCGCATATTTTTAACGGGAATTAAAAATGGCGTCCACCCCGCAGCGAATGCGTCGCTACCCGTTGCCAGGGGCAACCGCCGTGGAAAACCAAACGGACCAATCGCGTCTCGCAAATCCCTCACATTTCGTCCAATGAAACTGCGTATGGTCCGGCGACACACAGACAGACAGATTTGCGATTTTATATATATAGATGACACGGCTCTCACTCATTCTCCCCGTTCATTCATCATCATTTACGGTCATCAATTTCGCTTACACCAAATTCACGCAGCATCACAGATTCTCCCCCATCGCTTCCTCTCATCTATTTCAGTCACCTCATCTCCACCATTACATTCACACGTCGTTGTTGTACCGTTGTTAATTCTTTGCGAAGCGCCTCGGTTAAGGCGCTTAAGGTAAGATGGGATGACGTCCAATTGCGCGGCTTCCAACGTAACGAGATCAGCGCTGAACGAATACCTTTTCGAGGAGAATCCACGCGTGTGCGCGTCGTTTTTCCTCCCTCGTTATTGTTTCAGGCTCCGGCCAGGGCGGGGCAGCTGCTTTGGGTGAACATCCTGGGACCCTGGTTCACGGCGCAGCCGGAGCAGCAGCAGGAAGTGAGCGAGAAGAAGCAGCGCAAGATGGAGCGCAAGCAGATGAAGCGCTTCTGATGCAGCAGCAGCAGCAGCTTCCTCGTCGAAGCAAACGTCTCGTGACACCGCACGAAGCACACGCAGTCACATGCCACGGGTTCACAGAAATACTTTTCCCATTTAGAAGCGGCTGGGTGGCGGCAGGTGTCATGGCGACAGAATGCCGCCACCCCCTTGGGTGCGGTTTCCAAGCCTGGGCCTCGACGTGCCAGGCAAGCGCCACGAGGTGGTGTCGGAAATGAAATGATGATCGCCTTATTGAGCAGATAGCATTGATTGTGTGAAGGAATGTTAACGTTGCGCTGGTAATTACGCTGTTGCCCGTCAAATGCTGTACTAAATTACCAAAACAAAGTAATTCTGGTTCTCTGCGGGATGACGAGGTTTAGAAGCAAAAGGCCTTTATTTAAGAGCTGGGTAAGGCAGTAATGAACTCTTTCCTGTTCCAATGACGTGCACGTACGTCATCAGTTTTTCGCCTCGTTCCGATGACTTACGCGTGCGTCGTCAAAACGGGAAGAAAAAAATAACTTGAACGGTACCAAGGCTTCCACGAGGCCATGCGGGAGGGCGTGGCACAGTTTGGTGGCAGCTATCGTAGAGTGCGGTTGTGTCGCTACAGTTCTCTGCGATGAGTACGTCTTTAACAGCAGCAGCGTCGTGCCTCTAATGGCGGGGAACCTTTTTTCTGCCAAGGGCCATTTGGAAATTTATAGCATCATTTGCGGGCCATACAAAAGTATCAACTTAAATATTAGCCTGTTATATTTGGCCAAACATTTTATTAACTCACCCCGAATGTGATGGCTGGAATTGCCAAATGTTTGAGCGAGCCTTATACGGCCCGCGGGCCGGATGTTCCCTACCCCTAGAATGTAACGCTAACCTCTCGCGCGTTTCGAGATTCGGCGGTGAACGGGACACCCACCCTGCAACTTGCAGACGTCTCGGAACGTGGAAAGGGTTAACGTACCGATGAACGCTTTGAAATGCACGCGAAACCTCGTCGCCTCGGATCGGACTGTTGTTGAATTGGTGCAGCTCTAACAGTAACGGACTGTTTTTTTTAAAGACTTGCTGGATGACGGAATATAAACGAAAACTGATCAATGATTCCAGTGTTCTGTCATCATTGCTCGAAAGGCTGGACATAAAAATCACACTCTGGTGGTTTGCGCGACCAAAATGTTTGCGGTGGAAATTTGTTATGGCCAAGCATCTGTAATTGTGTGTTTTTTGTTACTTTTGCTATGAAAAAGCAAGTAGACTCAATGACTCCCAACAGTCAAGGCTCTGCATTTGCTAAAGCGTTGCCAATTCACGACACGATTTTCACGTTCGCTTTTCTGCTGCCAGTAAGCTCCCGATGAAACCCGATCGCATTTCGACAAAACGAATACCTGGCTGGGGGAAGAAAATGCATCTCAACATCAGGACATTTATAGATTAATTTATTAAAAGTCAAACTGGATAATCGATCACCTATGATCAAAGATTGTCGTCAGTGAGACTCCAACACCTCTTCATTGGCCACTGCCTGATGGAACCGGTCGTGGATATCCTGAAGGCGTTGCCATGTCCCAAGCGCGAATGATCGTGGCCGGCGGTTTGGGAGTTTCAGTGCTTGCGGGCAAATCCAATTTGGTGCACAGGGTGACGAGTCGCGCTGTGGCGACGGCGATGGAGTGAGGGAAAAGGTGTCCGTAGAGGGAGAAAACTCCTTTCTCAAACCGATTAATAGAAATTGAGGTTTTGAGCTTCGATGCCATTTAGCAGAAATATTGATCGTCTCGGGTCGGTTTTTTGGGGGGGATATAGGGGAAGTGCTGGGAGGAGATGCGGACCTTGACAAAGCTGTTCGTGTCGGTGGCATTGAAGGGCAAAGGCTGGTGGGAAGATCAATACAAAATGCAATAATTTTTTTTTCAACTTCTAGCCAAGTGAAACATTTTGTTGGGATCCCGGTCACCCTCACACTTCCGTGATGTTCACGCACAGAACCTGCTGCTGCATCAGCGAGCTTCCGGACTTGCAGCGCCTTGGACACAATAGGAGTACGTGACAATGAAAACTCCTTTTTAGGAAATTTCACCCTCCCCTCCCCCCCAACAAATAAACCAGGGAAGGAAGCGTGTCTTGTACAGACTGATCCAACGTGCAGCCAGCTTCCAATTCAAAACAAAACCCCGAGACCGGGAGCGGTGAATGAGCGATTACATTTTACGATCTGCCCCATTAGTCGTGCGAGGCGAAGCAATCGCATTCAGCAGGGTGTCTCGGGGATTACAGCAGTCAAGCGCCCCCCCTCCCCGCCAGCTACAAAAGTGGTGGAACTCAGAGTGTGCACGCGTGCGTATTTTTGTCATAGGAATGTGGAATTTTCACTGCCAACACTGGGCTGCTGATGGAATGGTGGTGCAATGCACGTCTTTGACCGCAGGGTGGCGCAGTAGAAACACGTGCCTCGCCGCAGGAAAGACTTGCTGCTGGATTAGATTCCCCGACGTGGGCGCCCTTCGTGTGTTTGTGTTCTGCCCCCGCGGTTTCCCTCCGATCGCGAGAAACACAGAACCGTCATTGTTGTTGACCAAACATTTCAACGTAGCGGCACTCCCGAAATTTTTTTTTTTCAAGAGTGACTTTCCTCTAAGTGACTATTATTCGATTTTCGCAGAGAAGATGCACTGAATTTTTGATCCGTCGCCACTGCATTTAGAAAAATTCGATCATTCCGGTTTTGCCCGCACGTCATCTCCCCGTGACGTTCAAGGGGGCTATGGCCAGGAACTGTTCCCTGCAATGGTCACGGAACCAAGATCAAGATCCTCGTCGACACCACCACCACGCCAATGCCGTAGACTCTCCCGCCAGATCCTGCGGCTGCTGCTGCACAGGCAACACGACATCCAAAATCTCCCCCCCACCAGCAGGAAGACTTCTTCACAATTCTGACAAATCGCCCGAAGCTGGTCGTAATCACCAGCGAAACGTCGGACTCGATTGTAAATGTTGTGGGTTTACTCGCCACCACACCGATGGACGTTGAACTTCTTTAGCACCGTACGTAGCCAACCGCGCTAATCGGAGGTTAGGGGGACAAACAAAGCGGTTCTAAATAAATTAGTGCCATATAGCTAATTGCCACGTTTTGTTCACGTGACAAACCATTCCTAATCGGCTGTCGGGCGGTGATGGTGGGTTAACGACACATTTCTATTCCCGCGACTAAACCCAAAAACCTTGATAGCACATCGGATTGCTGCAGTCTAAATATTCTGAGATTATCTTCACGCGTGGTCCCCGGGACTCGTGCGGGTCGGAGCACTCCCAAGTGCAACGAATGAAGAGGCGGCAGTGCACAGAGGAGTTGTATAAATGTCTTTTGTTACAGCTTCAATATCGACTGCAGCGAGATACATGTTAAGCACTTTACATTTCAATAAAGTTCACCGTTAAATACTGTACTGGGTATTGTTGCATGTTGAGTTTTGGGCAGTGTGGGTGGCACTAAGCAAATATCCCCCAAGTGGTGAATATTTGTTGATGTTGCTGTTGTTGGTCTATTGTATCCTGTTGCTATTTTTTTTATCATACAGGGTTAACAAAAATATTTACTTAACATTAAAAAACAACGTTTGGAAAGATCCCAATAGTAAAAACATTTTTGGCAGGTTGTTAATAGTTCTACTTGCTAAGCACATATATAAGCTTTTATACGGCTTGTAGTTGTTTTAAAAAGTGTACAATTGAACAATCGATTATCCCTGGTTAAAATTTCATTTAGAATGCACAGTGACCGCCAAAACGGGGACTTCCTTTTAAAAACATTTAATTCATGGCTTAGATGTAAATTTTTATTGTCTCCCATTTCCAGTTCATGGACGGTTTCCGAATTTGATTCAACGTGTGTTCAGTGTGCGGTCGGATGAAGGACGTTTACCATATTTTAACAGACGTCATTGACACTCCGTCGTACATAATTGTAAAATACTGTAAACAAATTAAAGGCAATTTTTTTTCTATTTTTCTTTCTTCCCCTCCTCCCCCCCGCACCCCCCTCCCTCATTATTGCAAAGGACAGGTTATTTTAAAAAAAGCAGAAAAATAAACCATCATACGGAAAGAGCCCTCTCGTGCGAGTTAAAACGGAGGCTCAAATTTATTTTCTTGGAACGGTACCCTAGTAAAAACTAGTCGGCTGTTAACTAAGAAAAATAATAAACACAAAAACCGCAGTCACGTGAGGACCACATTGAAGATACAAAGCCGTTTGTACAGGCAGACAGATGCTGGAATATTAAAACAAAGAAACGTGGGGGAGTGCTGCTCTCAGACGGAGTGTTGCGATGTCCAGAGCAATGGTCAAAAAGCCAATCTCACGTGGCCACCACCACCGCCGCCACCCAGGTGACCCTGTGAGTGTGCTTCGGACCGTCGGGCTCCTCAGAAGATTTTTCCCTTCTTCTTGTTCTTCTCGATCGTTCTGCGGGCGGGCAACGGTCATAGGAGGGCGCACACAGAGAGGGGGGTGGCTGTTAGGGGTGCGCTACGCTCTGCCATCAAAACTTGACGAGTTTAGTTTTCAGGTTGCAGCGTGCGGAGCGCAAGGCGCGGAGGACTCGGAATCAGAATATTTATTCATACCGGAGGAGGAATGCGATGAGCTATAAAGCTCTTTTTCACCGGTGTTCAGTAGGGGCGGGTCAGACTGATGGTTCCTGCCCAGCCGATGAATGGTGGTTAACTGTGAGCAGCCACTAACAGGTATTGCGATTTTTGGGGGCCCAAAAACAGCAGAATGTACATACATAATTGTACATTATGTTGAGTAACCATGAATAACCCAACCAATAATAGATATCCATTGTCATTTATATGGCTACATTAACCACCCGCCCCGCCTGGTCTTCGTGCACCTAATTGGCTCACAAGTGGCGACATCACATTGATCCCGCCATTTAAGACCAAAACACAATTCTGTCTGTGGCCTGATGAGGCTGGTTGCAATTACCGGCAAAACTTCGTACTCGATTTGGAAATGGGTTTACTCTCAAACACACCGGTGTACTAAACTCGTCACTAATTGGCATTTGTTGTTTACGTGACAAACCTTACCAACGGGTTTAACGACGCATTTATATTTACACAATGTAAGTAAAAGTGTGCTGATGCATGTGTGAATGTGTGTGTGCATGCAGGTGCGCGTGTGCACAAGTGTGAGCATGTGCACGTGTGTGTCAGCGTGCTGGCATTCGTGTGCGAGTGTGCTGGTACATGTGCATGCGAGTGTTAGTACGTGAGTGTGAGCTTGCTGATACGTGTGTGTGCTGGTCTCTCCAACACCAGTGACAATTATCTGAAACGGTCCCGGGCCTCCCCGAGGTCGACTCAGCCTCAAATGAGTACCTGGCACGGTGTGCAAACATCGCCACTGGGAAGACAAAGGCGGCCGGGCGTGGTGCTGGCCACTCACCCACCCACTTTGTGTGCTGTGCCGACCTTCATCGGTGATCGCTAACAGCACTTGCCCAAACAGCCCATTAAGGCTAGATGGGGGATCTTTGTCTTTGGTATGTGTTCAAGTGTGCTGGTATATGTGTACGAGCGTGCTTAAACGTGTGTGTGTGTTGGCCGATACGCGTGTGTGTGTTGGCTGATACGTGTGTGTGTGCGTATGTTGGCTGATACGTGTGTGTGTGTGTGTGAGAGAGAGTGCTGATAGGTATGTATGTGTGTGCGTGCTGGCTGACACGTGTGTGTGTGTGTGTTGGCTGATACGTGTGTGTGTGTCAGAGTGTGCGCTCACTTAGTGTCAACTCTCTGCTGCTCCAGGGCGAGGATCTGTGCCTCCCAGGTGCTCTTCTCGTCCTCAAACTGGCGCCGCCGCTCCTCCATCTCGCGATGTTGCGCCTCCAGGTTGCGTTTCATCTGCTCGTGCCGGCGCTGCAGCTGTGGTTCACGCATGCGTGGGGCACAGTGGATAAGAATCGTCACTAATTGATCGCTCAATGCAAAACACAAAGCCACCGTGAAAAGTACATCGACAAATCAAGGAGAGAGATCAAACAAAGACGCACGCGCGCGCCTGTGTTCATATTCTGTATCGATTCTAAACGCGTTCGTTTGTCAACTTCAGCTTGCAAGGGATTGCAATATACAAGGCCATCTCTCCAGCCGTGAGTCTGTCATGCTCTGCTCACCCCAATCGCTCATTTCGCTCAACTCTGAACAAAGGCCGAAATGTTACCCTCTTAGAAATTCTCACGTTCGAGACACGCCGCGAGTGAAGGATGTTGAGCTTTTTTCTGTAATTGTGCTTACCCACATACGTAAACACGCCTGCAGACGAGATACACAGCGACGGACATCTTTCGAACCCAGTCAGAAAATCTTGCGGGGTGGTGGCGGTGCGTCAAAATCAGTTCTCGTGATGTCGAAGCAGTGAAAAGATGAATGTCAGTTCAAATTTGGATTTTTTGAATGGTTTTATGAGGACCGGTGCGTTATGCCGCCAAAAGCTCCCTTCATACACACAAAGACGAAGAACACCGTACAGCCTTTCAACAGACTCTTTGAGCAAGGCCAGCACCACTGTCGGCTGCCTTCGCCTCCGTAGTGCCAATGTTTACACATTGCAGCAGGTACATCGGTAAGGCCGAGTGGGAATTGGGGGGAGGCCCAGCAGTGCTTGTTCCAAAAATTCGTCACTGTTACGGGTCGTGAACGGGAATCAAACTCGTAGTGCATTGCGTGAACCAACGACACTGCCACTCCCCCACAATGTATACACAGGCGCTTGGCTACGTAAGGTGTGAAAGAAGTTCGACGTACATACAGTCTCTGTTCTCCTACAACGCGTGTTTTCATAACGCGAATTGGATGAATATATTAGGGAACATTTTTTTTCTAACGCAGATGCGAAATGGGTGGAACGCGTTTGAGTGACCAAGCGGTCGTACGTCTGCCTCGGTGTAGCATCGCACAAGGAATTGGGATGCTGCTGGATGCTTCTAGATGCTACCCACGGCGCCTCGGCCTTTGTTCAGCCTGCGCTACGCATCTCACGTGTTATCGCGGACTACATTACCCTACATATATTATTTATTATAACGCCATTTTTCCAAAACGCCGCGTTATAGGACAGATTGTACAGGCGTTTACATACACTCACTCAATAATACGTATATGGCACATTAGGAAGGGACCACTCTTTTAATTATGTCCTTGTACAGCAAGGGAGTAAAGTGTGGTTCTGGGAAATTCCTGATGTGCTGTGCAGTGCATCAATGCATGTGTGTCAGAGGTCGCAATCGGGTACCCGATACCCGTGCCCGGCCGGGTAGCTGGGTATCGGGTAAGGTACCCGTTTGCGACCCTGGTGCGGCCAGGTACGGGTACGGAATCAAAACCCGTTTGCGACCTCTGATGTGTGTACAGCAGCATGTGATGACTGAGTTGGGCCTGTAGGTGGCTGGCAGGGTTAATGATTAATCGGACTTGGACACCAGCCACGTGGTTAATGGCGACTCGGAGGAATTGCTGTGTTTGACACGTGCTGGTGCATTTTACAGAGTGATGGTGCTGTTCTTCACAAGATTGCTATTAACCACAATAAATGTGTCTGCCCTCGATTTGGAGCACCTGCCCACGTCCTTCATTTCGAGTGTGCACACGTACCAACACAAGCGCGCACACACGCGCACACGCACACACGGATACAACAAGTGCCATTATCCGGTGTGTTACCTCCTGCTCCGAGTCCATGAGCTTCTGCTGCTTCTCCTTGACCTTCATGAGGAACACCTGCTCCATTTCCTTCTCCATCTTATGCATCCGGAGTTTGTGTTCGTGCTTCTCCTCCTCCATCTGGGCCATGGGGCTCCTGCAAGCGCCCAGAGAGGTCCAGCGATAACGTACGCGGCGCAAGGGTGCACGATCTGCGCATGTCACCCTCACACAAAGACTAAGACCCCCCCCCACTATAGCTTTTAACAGACTGTTGGGGCAAGTGCTCTTAGCGATCTATGAAGGCACACGAAGGAGGCGGGTGGCCAGCACCACGCCCGACTGCCTTTTTTCTCTCTAGTGCCGATGTTTACACATCACACCAGGTAGTTAATTGAGGCCAGAGTCGACCTAGGGGAGGTTCAGATATTCATCACTGGGTGTTGACCGTGAGCAGGAATCGAACTCGGGTCTTCGGGTTTGTAGCGCAGCGCGCTAACTGCTACACTGCCGCTCCCCACACACACACACGTACACACACACACACACGTACACACACACACGTACACACACGTGTACAAACGCTCGTACACCAGCAGGCACTCTGGCCACCACTAGCTGTAGCCATGGGGGTGGTTTCCAAATGGACAAGACTGGCCCTTAAAGGCAGACAGCCCAAAAAAACGAGCGGGTCTCATGTTACAGACATGCACTGAGGCCGCGTGGAGGGCCGTTCCACATTGGTTGGAAGCTTCGTTAGAGATGACAAAAGACGTATCTGGACGCGAGTGATCTCACTGCAATCACAGTGTCTTGGAAGGTATGGGAGTAACACGGCAGGTACAATATGAGCGTGTGTCCAACTGTAACTTTAACTATTTGTTGTTGTTGTTAAGACATTTTTTTACTTCTCGTTGGACAGCCCAGAACTCATTCTACGTAAGGGGATATTTGCTTCCCGCGTTTTGGAGGCCTGTTGCTCAGAGTGCACCAGTTTTGAAGTGGCTGATGATTAATTGGCTATTTAATAATCGATTATTAATCTTAACCGAGTACACAAATTAATCACGAAGCGTCGTCGATCAGAATGTTGACAGCAACATAAATAATAACTCCTTCCCGTGTCTTCCCGCATAAAAAAACACACACGAGCATTTTTTACAAAACTCTTCGGCCGCACGGCCTTCGTGGAGAGCATCGTATCAGCAGCATTGGTTCAATACAAGCAAGCTCTGGGCAAGTTTCCATACTCAGTGTCTCATCAGCAGTCAGGACTGCGAGAACCAATGCTGGTGAACTGCCCAATGTCCATAAGACAAGGGACCCTTGCCTATTTAATTAGATTTATTTAATAGAATTTGCACGACATTTTATATATATTGCAGGTTCGATTGTTGTTGATCGGGGTTATTTATACAGTCGAATGTGATCGACATTTGAAAGCAAATGAACATGATCACATACACTTGAATCCTAACACAAACAAAGACAAAGGGAAATATGTCCCGTATAGCCTTCACAGACTGTTGGGGAAAGAGTTGTTAGCGAGCACCGATAAAGGCCGGCACGGCACACGAGGGGGTGGGTGCCCAGTACAACGCCCGACCGCCTTTGTCTCCCTCGTGGCAGTATTTACACACCGCACCAGGTACTCATTTGAGGCCGTGCCAACCTGGGGGGAGGGCCCAGGACGGGTTCACATATTCGCCACTCTTATTGTTTGTTGAGCGGGAATTGAACTTGGGTCGCAGAGTTCATAGCGCAGCGCGCTAACCGCCACCCCCTCCACACACACACACCGCCAAGCACACTCCAAGCCAGCCGCACACAGGCAACACACACTCAAAGCCACAAAAGTGGTGGCGGCACACAAGAGTAGGTGCAATCAAACAAAGCACGTCGTCTTTGATTGCAGCCGTCGTAGTGAAGTCTCACGAGGTGGAGAGAAAGACGGAATAAGAAAAAAACATTTGAGTCCTTCAGGAGGACAAAATCATTGATTACCAGTCCAGGAAATCACACTGGAAGAGAAAAACCCCAGGGACTGTACACAAGAGGAAGCGGTGAAAACGTTCCCGCCATGGAACGTTTAAAAGCGCGACGGTCAAATGTGAACCCATTTATTTTGCATATATTCATGTATCTTTAATTTCTTTCGCACTGTACGTAGCCAACTGTGCTACTTGGAGGTGCGGGGGGAAGACAACAAATTAAACATAAAATGCAGTTATAAAGAAATGAGTTCTCAATTAGTTTTTTCAATTTTGCTTTTCAGTAGAGTCAACGATAATATCAATGTGCGGCGATTTGGTGCAATTAATAGAACAAGGGCGGTGGAGCGGTGGCACGGCAGTTAGCGCATTGCGGTACGACTCCGGCGAGGTAAGTTCCAATTCCCGGCCATGGTTAACATCAGTGGCGAGTGATATATGAACTTGTCCTGGGCCTCCCCCCATGCTCTACACCAAACCGGCATGGTGAAGTATATTCAAACCTCTGACTAACAGGGAATGGGGAGCTGAGGTCTTTGGCTCTTCATTATTGTTTAAGACGTGCACAAACTTCACACAGTCTCATTAAACTTTATTTTTATGACCACCACCCCCTGCCTCGTTCATTCAGCTAATTGGGACGCAACTTCTCCATCGTTATGAGGCATTCTCAATCCACTTCTGGCTTTCAGGATCCATGTACAACAGCTGGGAAAATTCATAATATAGGTTTTTGGGTCAGATCGCGTTATTTATAAATGTGTTGTAACCCTCCACCACCCGACACGGCCAAACAGTAAAAAATGTGTCACGTTTTCAAAGGACAAATTAATTGACTTAATGTTTCATGTTTCTGTGTTGGAAAAATGTTCCATTCGACTTCACATTAACTGGGACCTTATTCGTCTGGTTTTCCCCAGTGCCCATTTGTAAAGAACACCAAAGCCTGCTTTAAACCGAGATGCACTTGGCTACATCTGTTTGAGTCTCCGAGCGCTAAAACCGTGACCCGAGTCCTCCCAGGGGTTAATGTTAGTCGTGGTAATGTTAGGTGAAGTTTTAACATCACATGCAGTTCCTGGAGTGACCTTTCAAAATTACGGTAATCACGAAAGACACAGGGTGCCAGCGCCATGGCCCTTGGGCGCTGCTCTGGCACATCGCTGGCAAGTGGTAACTGAACCTGGCCAGGGCTTCCTTTGGGTAAACTCAGCCTTAAACGAGTACCCGGTAGGGTCTGTAGACATCGGCAAAAAGGCGGAGTCAAGACGTGAGTGACTGGGCATAGTGCTGGCTAGAGTATTTCTCTTTTATGCCATGCCAGCAGCCTGAGATACTCTCTGCCAGCACTTGCTCGTACGGTCTTGCACAGCCAAAAGGGGAGATCGTGCGTTTAGTTTTTGTTCCAAACGTCGGCAACACGTTTAGCCTGTCATTACCATAACTCTTGAAAGGTACCACACATTAGGAGAGATAATGATTCCTTGTGGTTTCCCAAGAAGGTTAATTTGTAAGAAATCCAGTGTTAAACGGTGTCAGTGGCATTAAAAAAAAAATACATTTCACACTTACATTCCTGCAATGCCTTCCCCTCTATAAAACACAAAAGGTGACACACAATGCTTGTTGTGGTTAAACTCCAAACACACAAGTCACATTAATAACCCACGCGCCGTTATACGAAACGAGCTAGGTTAGTTGTTGCGACGTTCGGCTGTTCGTGGCAAACAGCGCTGCTTGCACGTTCTGCATTCTCAAAGCCGTCGGAAACATCACCCCGTCGGGTTAATTCCATGGCGAAATCAAGCAAAGATTATGGTGGCATTTTACGCGACGTTTGATCGGTATTGCTCGCTCATCGTCATCATCACCACCACGTCATGCCCATCGTATCAACGCAGGGCAGACCCAATGATGACCACGTGTGGGCCAGAGGTCCCTTGCACAGCTCAGCAATTGTGTTTAAATCGTCAGCTGTGCGCGGGCCCTCTCATAAAACTATATATATTTTTATTTTACCAGCTCTTTAGATAGCATGTTTCTAAATGTAGAGAGAAAAACCGGAGGACCCGGAGAAAAATTAACACGACCATGAGGAGAACATGCAAACTCCAAATATAATGGAGTTGGGTCGGGATCGAACCCACGACCTCCTGCATACCAGGCGAGGTAGTTATAACATCTCACCGCCATAGCTCTGGAACAGATGAGACATTGTCTTCTGGAAATAATTATTCGAAATCAGGTTTGGTCAAATATCTACTGGACTGATCCGGTATGGAATGACCCCATTGTTAAACACACGATTCAATCAACGATTATATTATTCAATGCACATTAAAACGCTGCTGCTTGTCAATGGGAGGGGAGGGGGGGTTATTTTTCAGCAAGGTATAGCAGCATGCCGTGCATTAAATACTCTTGTGACTCTTGTCGGAACAACATGCGGCCACTGAGAGAGAAAATAACCGTCAACAAATGCATCGCGCAGATCGCCGCATTTAAAATAATTGTAAAGATGTCGTAAGACTGTAGCAGGTGACTATCTGAAGCGGGTCAGGTGAGCCTTGGAGGGTAGGTAAGACCAAAGGACAGGTGGGATGAAACAGCAGATGAGGCGAGGGAATGGGTAGTGAAGGTGACGACATCGAAGGTGAAGGCGAGGATGATCGGCAGGTCGTTGTGAGGCTGTTGAGCAATTTGGGCGGAGCGGTGGTGCAGCAGTTGGGTGAGACGAGGGCGAGTGAGAGTGAGTTGGCGGTGGGCGAAGAGAGACACTGAGTAAGCAGGGCAACACGGAGGGGCAGGGGCCGGCAACGCGACGCGAGAGCACCCACTTGCTGAGCTGCCCCTTGGAGCGGTTGTTGTCGACGCCGTTGCAGGCGAGCGCGGCCAACTTGCGGCTGCGGAAGTTCTCGTAGTGGACGTTGTTGGTCACGTCCTTGAGGTCCTGCATGTGCGTCCTAGTGGCAGGGACGCGGTCGGGTGTGGGATGGCAAACAATGAGGCGCGACAAACCGGCAGCCGCCACAGCGAACAAGCGTCACGCTCAACGTCACTCAGAACAGACTATACACACTCTTTGATTCTTTCGGTAAAGTCACGTATAAAGATAAAATAATAAATTAAATAATTATTATTTTATCTTTATACGTGACTTTACCGAAAGAACCAAAGAGTAATTCCTGCAGTCACGAAAGCTCCAAATTTAAGACTATACACAATTACGCAAACAGTATAAACGAGAGGACGTAATACAAATGCAACACAAGTCATTGCAAACAAGACAAAATACACCACGCGACATCGTCTCGGTTCATCATGGTGAGAGATTCTTATCGTTGCGAGCCTAAACCTCGGCAAGCGTTAGGCGGTGATTGTCACGCGATTAACATTTTGCAGTGGTTTAACTTTGGAGAAATTGGCCTCTGCCATGGGAACGTGGAAATTCCATCACTGGCTCATTGCCGCCAATGGAGATGAAAAAGAGCTTTATAGCTCATCGGATTCCTCCAGCATAAATACATATTCTGGTTTTCTATAGGAACCATAGCTTCCTGCTACACGCAATGCGCTCCTTATAATGAAAGCCAAATATATTTCAGTGCAGGACCCTCCTGTAAGAGAGAACAATAATCTAGATTTGTTTATTAAACACAAGGGTAATATCTACACTGCATCGCCAAGACTTACCTAATCAGCATGTTGCGCAGGAGTGTGAAGTCGCAATGATCCGCACTCTCCACTGTTCAGGAATAAAGGCACAGCAGAGAACGGCATATACACAATCCTGGCCAGCTTCACGATGAGTACATTATGGGTTCATGGCGAGGTTTAGGGCAATGTCCAAGACTGCACCTTTATTGGCGACACTGCTGACCGCCGACCGACCCGAGAGACTAATCCCCCAATTGGTCAACGTCGGTCACTGCGCACAAACCGGTTCGGTGGCGTAGAGCGAGGTCGGCATGGACCTCTGGTGTACGAAATAAAATGTCCCCACACCCCACCGCCCACCCTCCCCCCCCCCGCACAATTCCCCATCTTGGTGGCTCCAGCAGTTGTGCCTCCCCGGCCAGTGCTTCCTGGTGTGGTTGCACTGCCTGCACACTCGCCACTGCACTGGCAAACAGAGGTTGTTGTTTTTTTATTATCTCTGTAATCGGTATCTATATATCTTAGCACCTGTTTTATTCCCAGAAAGGGTGAAGCCCATTCTTATTTTTATCCCCCCACCCCCCCCCCCCCCATCGGAGGTTATATTTTTCGCAATTCGGCGCAGCTGTAACTCTGGCAACCGTCGCACAAATCCAGGGGTCACGACCGACGTGCATGTTTGATGCTCTGCCGACACGCCCACACACGCACGCACGCGTTCCCGTGTACGCACGCACGCGCGCATCCCCACACACCGTACCTTCCACGACGCCCCACGGGTACTGGCGGCCCCGCACGCGCTTCCCGTTCACCTCCAGCACCGTGTTGCTCCCCACCACCGCCAGCGGGATGTTGTCCTGCCGTAATCGACAGGGGCGTCGGTTAAATTGCATAAGCGAGCTTTGCCTCCGACCGCTCTGGGGCGTGCCGGGATCACGTCGGGTTCTGTTCGTCCCTGCGGCGGCCTCTTATGAGAGTGTACAACTGTGCAAGCGGGCCAAGAGTACGCGGAAGGCACATTTGTTAAAGAGTTAATAAATGTGCCCTGGTACAATGAGTTAACCCCACTTGTACCAGGGCCGATCCGGGAACCAATCCTAACATCACGGTGTCAACGATAACAAGACGTTCATGCTGTGACCTCACTTATCTTAAATGACAAACCGTGTTGCTTATCTCTCTACAATGTCGATAACAATCTTCCCTTAACACAAGCCCTTTTTCAATCCACTGCTCGATTAAGGCATCCCTTATGCTGTGTCCATCCTGGGGGTGTGTTTTACCGTGTTTCACCAGGCTAGCCGGTGTGGGTTGGTGAATAGAGTGGCCAAGACCGGTTCGTTTCGCCTCATATCATGAGCGAGCAATGTTAGCCATGGCTGGAAATTTTACTTTGGTTGCCGGGTTCAAAGGGCAAAGTGCGAACCACTGCAACCTTTCTCCTTCCACGAAACTTTATTTAAGACAAAGTTTCTAAAACAACCCACTTGTATTTCTTTAGAGCTGCTGTTTGCGTTTAGTTTGTTGCCCTTCCCACCCGCACCCCCGATAAGCACGGTTGGCTACGTACGGTGCGGACGAAGCTCAACATAAATACGTACATACTTAGACCACCACCTCCCGAAGCTCGCCTATATTTCTTCCTTCTAAACGCCAGGCCACAGCCGGTTTGGGAAAGTAGTCATGGGCATTAGGGTGGCAGGATGGGCATGGGCAGAGAACAAAGTAGGGGCCAAGGCCATGCAGCCTCATTCACATATCATTTGCATACTGGCTGTGACCGTGGGGATGGAACGGGAAAGGTGTGGGGTCACAAACTCAGTGATCGCGTGGACGGGGGCGAGCGGCGTCTGCGTAAAGGTTGGGGGGGCGAGCACGCAACGGCCCGGGGCGGCGAACGCTCCACCCCGTCGGCGGTGCGTTAAAATATTCAACACTTTCAAGGAATTAAGGGTGCGTTAAGTTTTTTATCCTTGAAAAAAATAAGTATCTCATGCAGCACTGATGTACTGGTTGATGATTAGTGCACCCGAGTGTTAAACATTTAGCAGGTCGGACAAGGAAGGAAAAATAAGTGTGCGCATATATTATTTAGGAATCGAGCAACGGGCGATAATACTGTTCGTGAAAATTACTCCGGCTGCCTCGTCCGGCCGGGCGACGCTGTGGCGAGAGACCGTGTGACTCATCCCTGTTGGTTCAATACAATTGCCACCACTTTGTGGGAAATGAACGATGATTGGCTTGGCGAGAGACAAAGGGAAATATCTCCCGTATAGCCTTCACAGACTGATGGGGAAAGTGCTGTTAGCGAGCACCTATAAAAGCCGGCACGGCGCACTAGGGGATGAATGGCCAACATCACGCCCGGCCGCCTTTGTCTCCCCAGTGAGCGGGACTCAGGTCGGCGGGGTTGTAGCACGGCGTGCTAAACGCTACACTACCGCTACCCACACCACATGCCCTCTCTCAAGAGGTGGATATAGGTAGGGGGAGGGTGGAGGGGTGGGGTGCAGTCTCCGAATTTCAAACAATTTCATTACATGCAACATTGAATGATCTTCTCTGGTGATTGTGAATAAAATACCAATTTCCAGGGTCTCAATGGTGGGGGTAATCTCCCCATCGCCACCCCCCCCCGACCCTGGATCTGCCACAGGCCCCCTCTCTCACCTGCTTATTAAACGACGACTCAAACACGAGGTTAAAAAGCGACAAGCGTGGATAAATACCTTCACTTTCTTGGCCAGCTTCTCGTCGTCATCTTCCACATCGGGAAACTCGTAGATTTTGATTTTGTGTTCCACAATTTCTTTCATGATCTGCAAACAAAAATAAAAACAAACACCCCCCAGCATAACGAGAGTACGATTAACATCATATCAGATTCTTCACACATCTTCCTAAATCTGATTTTCTTTCACAAAATGTAGGGCATTCATTTGTTAAAATATGACACAGTGTGACACTTCCTATTAAAACAAGTTTTAGTTTTAATAGCAACTAGCAGGAAGACAACAGATGACCAAAATAATGACTTGATAGTAGAAGTTTTTTGGGTAAGATTTAACCCAAAAAACCTCTACTATGGATATTGGTCGCGAAAGCCCACGTGTTATAATGACTTGACCCTGTCAGAGAAATGTGGAATTTACACCACCGGCTCAGAGCTGTACATACGAGGCGAGTGCCTTCCACACACTTGTTTAAATGTGAACCTCAAGTGCATATTTGTATGGCAAATACAGCCCTGTGTAGTTTAATTTTTTTTTACTATCGTAAATGTCTGGTGCGCCAGGCAAGGCATGACGATCGAGACATTCGGAACAAAGCTGGCGGCGGCCGCAGAAAAATAACTGGAAACAAACACGAGTCATCAGTTTCTGATTTAAACACGTTCGGAAAATTTTTAAAGAGCGATTTTGGAACTTTTCCATGAAGCAGAGTTGATATTACTTGATGCCAAGTGTGGCACCATACTGGCAGGTACAGCACGGAGTTGATGTCATATTAGTTACATTACTTCAGGCTTTCTAGATCCATCCGAAATTAACCATTTTATTGCACCGTGCAAAACATCATAGAGGCCAGATTTTTCAAATTTTCCTGATTAATCCCAATATCAGCGATAAACCCCAAAGACATCTCCGATTAGCACGGTTGGCTATGTACGGTGCAAAAGAAGTTCAACATACGTAAATATACACACTCCGCATCCGTGCTGGGGGTTACACATTGTGATGTCAAAGAAAGCTTCCGTGGGTGGCCGAGAGCCGGAATTCGAACCAAAATGTCTCGGCGGTGCCCCGTGCCTGACGGCCAATCCTCACCGTCTTCTTGAACTGCTGGCACTCCTCGGTTGTGAGCGAGTCCGCCTTGGCGATGAGCGGGATGATGTTCACCTTGTCATGCAGTCGCTTCATGAACTCAATATCCAGGGGCTTCAGCCTGCACACGGCAGAGGCGAATACATGGAAGGTGAATTGCTTGCGAGCGCCCATTCCAACAGATCAACCTCATTAATCCACTGCTGGATAAATGCCTCCACATCCCCCCACAAAACCATCGCCATCTCGCACGGCAATGCGACGTAGCGATCCATTTAGAAACAGCAGATGGGCTGGTTTCTTTACAATTACGACTTCAGCTGCTATAAATGTGCTACACCAGTTTCTGCAAATTATGAAAAAAAAATGTTTAACGCCGTGAAAAATCCTGAAAGCAAAATAGGACCGTTGGAGTGTGATGAAAAACAGGGCTTTATTGCGGATTTACGAATAAACAAAAGTCTGGACAAATTACCTCTCGCAGTTCTCAACATTAAATGGTCTAGTGGCTTGGCAGCCGATCAGCACCGAGTGGGCATACTGACTTCCATCGCCGCACTCTTGGCATTTCCTGGCAGTCGTTGCCAAAGTGCACAGCTCGTTGTATGCACGTATATATATGTTGAACATCTTTCGCACTGTACGTAGCCAACCGCGCTGATCATAGGTACGGAGGAAGGAAAACAAACCAAACACAAAAGCAGTTCTAAAGAACGGAGTATTCAATCTTGATTGAAAAGTTCAGAGCTCCAGTGGCTCCCTAATATTTCAAGGAAGAGCATTCCAGACAGGCCCAGAAGCACATTTGAAACGGAGGTTTTTGGGTTAGATTGTGTAAATATAAATGTTTTATTAAACCCGCCACCACCCGGCACAGCCAATAAGGTTTGTCACGTAAACAAAACATGCCAATTCGTTACTATTTGAGCACACTGGTGTGTTGGATAGTAAACCCACGATTTCTACAATCACGAAAGCCTACGTGTGAAATGCACATCTGAAAGCACGCGATGTGGTGACCGTCTTTGTTCGATGGCTAGCCAAAAGCCACCGCTGCGAAGATGATGACCGGAGTTCACGTGATGGTTTATGCTCGCTGTGAAGTCCACGTCAAGAACCTACAAGTGCCCACTACGCCTAAAGTCTTACTCCGATGTTGCCCAAGTAAAAACTCACTCCAGGCTGTGCAAGTGGCTTTGATTCGGGTGGCTTTGATCGATCCCTGATGCAAGCTACGGCGTATGTATCAGAAACTTGGACACACCGACAAAGAAAATGGAACGGCTCAGAAAATGGGCAAAGAAGCACCGACAGACGGATGGTCGGAATTACGCAGCTTGACAAGGGGAGCTCATGAATCCGAATAACAAATGCAAAGCAGGCATCCCACTGACTGACACATTGTGAGCAGGGAAGGATGAGACTGGGGATGTAATGGCAGTCGAAGGAGAGAACACACCCAAGGAGGAGCACCACAACAGAAGCAGCCTGGAGACTAGCTCATCCAGAGGAATGAGATACATCACAGCAATAGCATCGGTGCGCGTACAGATCTTCGTCTAGCAGTGTATAGAAAAGATACGATTATTAAAATGATCATTATCATTTAAAATGGGATTTACAAGCCACTGATGCTCACAAATGCTGTATTTTTTCTTAATCCCAAGGCCACTGCAGTGCCTTGGGCACGCACACTTCACAGGCTGTAAACACTCCTCGCGCACCCGTGGAACATTTATTCACACGAGGAACAAACGTGCTTGCGTAGGCTTGTTTGCCTACATCTGGGACAAGCACCTTTATGGAGCTAAACCGACATCACGAGCCGCAGGCAGGCGAACTAATTGCCAATATTAAATGGCATTCTGTACTTTCCCTCTTCTTTACATCTTGAGGTCATACGTGTACACAGTACATCGTGAACACGATGTGTTGGGAACAGAGGTTGCTTTAAAATACCTCTGCGCCTAGATTTGTGAGTGCCTTGTGTGATGTCAAAATTGCCAAGCTGAGATACCTGAGGTACCAAGGAACGGTTCAGATATCACTCACAACTGATGTTCGCCGTGGCTGGGAATCGAAAAACTAAACTAAAAGTTAACTATATTCTTTGGGTCTTTCGGTAAAGTCACGTAGATATTTTCTTTGAACCTATCTACGTGACTTTACCGAAAGGCCCCAAAGAATATGAATTCCTGCAGCCACGAAAGCTTTAAGTCAAGATAAAGTTAACTATTTTTTATGTTACCAGATAAGGCCCACTGAGCAGCCTGGCCACAAACAATAGCTCAACGAAGTCGCTTAACGCGTGGAAATTTATCGTAGCCAAATACTCTAAACTCATGTTTCTAATTGTGGAGGGAAACCGGGAGGACCTGGAAAAAAATCCACATGACCATGGGGAGAGACATGCAAAAAAACTCCAAATATACAGCGGCAGGCGTCAGGGTCGAGATCGAACTCACGACCTCCTCCATACCAGGCGAGGGAGTCAACATCTCCTAGCCACCGTATCGCCTCTTCACAGGACGTGAGCACACTCCTCGAACTCGGGTAAACGGGTTCATAGCGCAGTGCGCTAACCACGGCGCCACCAGTCTATCCCCGCTATCATTGTGAGTGGGATATAAATGTATTTTGAAATTCCAAACCAATTTTTTTTTATTCAACATCTCATTGGATTAATCTTCGCAACACGAGGCCACGGTGTAAACTATCCAACACCTCTCCCTCTAGGGGGCGACAGGGCATGTTGGTACGAATGTGGTTCCGAGTGGCTCAAGATATAAAGTACAAAAGCGGAAAATGCCTGGGCGTAAGGACTGACGCAACGCAGCAGATCAGCGCTATTTATAAAAGTCAAGTCACAGCGTATCTGTGCTCAAGTGCACATGGGGACGTGTTGATCTGTGACTCGATTACAGAAATTCCAGTCACTTTTCATCGCGCAGCATGAAAGCCACTGCATCACTGCTGCCCCGAAATAGTAGGAGCCATAATACTCCTCCCTACATATTTGGACGCATATATAGGATGGACAACAGGAAAATTAAAAGTGTGTTGTTTGGAAGGATGGAAGGCACCGGAAAGAGAGTAAGACCTAACAGAGTGTGGCTTGACAATTATACAAGAGATTGGTGCAAGAAATACGTTGCCACGACTTTAGCATATTGGCACTAGACAGAGGAAAGTGGAAACAAGTTACGAAATGTGCGGTGGACACCTACGGGACTATCTACCCATGGACCGTGATGATACTCCCCCAACAAAGTGGTCTCTATCTAACCAACCATTCAGGGATGATGCACACTGGGAATGAACGGTAGTAATTAAGACAACTGGGTGGGGCCAAGTGATCAGGAAGTAGTGAGGATCAAAAACTGTCTCTAAAGTGGACAATACAGTGCCCGCGACAAAATTAGCAAGAGTGGTCAAATATTTGCACCACAGCGATGGCCTACATTCTCATTTTGTAGTTAAGAATAAAACTCTTTATACCGATTCTTTTAGGCACACTTTTTTAATATCCCGTTATTCATTTGTATATCCCTTTGTTGACCCATTGCAGGATAAAGGTCATGTGGGGGGGTTGTTTGACTGGTCACCAATGGCCGGTTTAGGGTGTGGCCCCAGCAAAGTCTCCGATATCACTCGCCACTGATGTTAGCCGTGGCTGGAACTGGATCTGTCAAGAGGTTAACCCTTTCCCAATCCGATGACGTGCGTCTACGTCATCAGTTTTTAGAAAAAATACAATAACTTTATCGGTACCGAGGCTCCCACAAGGCCATGTGGCAGAGTTTGTATCCAGCTATCGTAGAGTGCGGTCGTGCCGCCACAGTTTTCTGCGATGAGTACAATGTCTTTAAAAACAGTGGCACTATGCCTCTCTAATTGAAATTAACGCTGAACCGCTTACGCGTTCCGAGATTCAGCGGTGAATAGGACAGCCACCTTGCAACTTGCAGACTTCTTGAAACGGGAAAGGGTTAAACGCTTGATGTGCAAACCACTAAGCTCACGCTCCTCATCTTCATCCACCCATAAACTATTTAATAAACATTGACGACACAAAACAGACGGCTATGATCACACATACACACATACGTACGTTAGAGGGGGAAACTCACAGAAAGTACATCTACAAACGCATAAAGAGACGTTTAACCCCTCCTGCCAGATCCCCAGGGCATCCGTGCAACTTGGAAGGAGTGGCGACAACAGTAGAAGCACGATTCCCCAAATGTGCCCCCCCGCATAAAGCGCACTGGCCTTGCTCTTCCTTCCGTCCTCACCCTTGCACGTGCCTCTCCCTTCCTGCCAGGAAACGCAGCTCGAAAAGGTTTTTCTGCGCGAGACGTTTTGTTCTTGCGTGAACGTTGGCTTGCTTCGTGTTTTTTTTGGTCAAACATTTGGGCACATTGCTTCCCCGTCCTACAGTTTTTTTTACCGTATTCTCCGGATAATGAGACGCTCCAGGAAAAGTAAAAAACGAAAAAAACTCTGGGTTAATTAAAAAAAGTGCGTGTTATAATCTGGAGATTAGTATACACAATGGAGAGCCGTCTTCCAGAAGATAATCATGAACGCGCTGCTTCAACACGGAAGAGAGATGTTAAGTCAGTTCACCGCTGAGCCAGTTATAATAACACAGTAAACGGATCTATTCTTACTACAGGCAGCCCAGTAATTTCTGTACAGCGTTGTAATGATGTGAACAGGTTGCTGTACACCAGAGGACATTAATGAACCTGTCACGTGATTCACAAGAGAAGACCCCGTCACGGCCTACTGATAAAATGCAGCAAATACAAGGCGGTCCCCAAAAGCTAATTTCAACTACCACACTGAGGGATTTCCAGCTCAGTGTGCCAACTACACGGCCGCATCCGTACAGGGCTTAACCGTGTTGTTGGACCAGATGGTTTGTGTGAGAACTGGTCATCTCACCATCGGAAAGGTGTTCCCGTTCAAACAATTATCAAAGGTCAAATCAGTTCCATCATCCTTCTGCGGTCGAATAAATTAGTACAGCGAAGTGCGACGTCAACTTTGATCACAGCATGGAGATTGTGATTTTTCCACCTTCTGGTTCAGGGTCGCCAACGTTTCGATCCAACG